GTTGTGGGTAGTGAATTTTACTTGTGAAGCATGAAATAATACAGCTAGGACATCATAAAAGAATCATTTCCATAAATTAGAACAGATAACATAGTATTGATTCTTTTAAAAAATGAGGCAGCTGTGGGGGAAGAGAGGAATTCTGAGGCTGAGCTAAGATGATGAGTTCAAAGATTTCTTCTGATGCACAATGCACACAGAGAGGTCTATCGCCGACCATTGCTAAGACAAGTGATTTTTCCATCAGTTTCTCAGATTGGGATTTTTCTTTACTCAATAATAAGATCAGTAGTGATAGCGAAGAACATGCAATGGCCTCCAGGGTCTGCATTTTAGTCAGGAACATACAAAAATAACACAGTTAGAAAACAAGCATTAGTGTTTTTATAACTCAAGTGTTCCAGCCATCTGGGGGCAGTGCCATTTACAACCTCAGAAACATATGTAAAAATAATTTAAGACATTTTGTTGAGTTTTATTTTAAGGAACTGTTCCAATTTTTTTTTAAAAAAAGCCTCCACGACGAATTTTGACCAGAATAACCCATGAGAAATTGTCCGTGGAGCTTGACCTTTGATTCGTTAATAATTTTTCCACTATGTTGTTTTCACTTTTATGAGGCACGCTATAAGGGCAGGTGGGTGGGGGGAATAGATGCAGTGTGGGTTGGTGGGGGTGGGTGTAATTCCCAGATGCTGTAAAGCCCCTCATAGCGGCTGGCTCAAAGTGATATAAATTTGAACTAGGAATTAGTGTAATGGCAGAAACCAAAAGATACGCCAGGCATCTGTTTTAAATGGTGGGGGGGGGATTAATCAATAAATGGGACAGTTTCCCTCTGCATGAAAGCTGTTATGTAAGTGTAAATGCACAAAAAATATAAAAATCAACACAGATGTCTAGTGCAATTGTAATATTGAATGGGACTTATTATGATTCCTGGGCTGGGCGAAACCTTAGGCAAGTTTCCTTACTCCACACACCTCACCCCCGGTCTCAAGAACATGATAAGGTGCTGTATCAAATGCAAGGGTTATTATTATTATCATTGTTGTGAGGTAAGATTAAATGTTCCTGATAAATGTTGATAACTGTACAGGTCTTCCACTTCTATTTGTTTCTCCTCCTTTAAGACCCTGAATCTAGTTCAGGTACAGTTCCACAGGCGCTGGCTACCTTGCAGGATTCCACAAGGGTGATACCTTCATGGGCAAGTCTAGATTGTGAGTGTTGAGGCTATTTGAATGTGGGGAGGATAAGGAGAAATAAAGCTGTATGCGATTCTCTCCTCTTGCAACATCCACAAACACACTTCATCCTTTTCAGGATGGATCTCTGGATAGAAGTCATGCATATCCCAAGTGGGAATCTTCGCACTTGGCTCCTTTTAACCCTGTAAGCCAAAGCAATACTTCTGGGAGACGGGTAAGACAGCTAAGGTTTGAAGTCGTTGCATTCAGTGTTCGGCCCAGTTGAACATTTTATCTGCATATACTGCAGACACAAAATAAAGCCCTGCTTTTATTACCACATGCTATGCAAATGTCTGTTTTTCCATTCCAAACACACTCCTATTTTTCCTACAGTACAAATACTATTTGCATTAAAACAACTTTCTGTTAGTCAGTCGGATCTCTCATGTAAATACTTCGCATTTCATGGAAAAATTCAGCCAGGGGCCCCACTACACCCTGCTGGAAGCTGTGTGGCTGTCGAGTTTGGCTATGAATCCCACAGCCAAACAACCTGCTAACACTTACTTTCAAAGCACATTTATTGATAGTGGCCATTCGAGTGAGTGATCAGTGCCCAAGGAAATTGTAACCCAACCAAAGAGAAAAGGATGGCTTTAGGAGGGAGAAGAAAATTGAAGAGAAAAAATGTGTGATGCACTACTTAAAAGTTTTAGAGGGAAATTAACAAGTATATGGTATGGGTTGTAGACTCATAATCCAATGCAACACAGGGGGGATGCACCGTTGGAGGTTCATCCTTTGGAAAAGACATTAAACCATGGTGCTGTCTGCCTGTTCAGGTGGATGTTACAAATCCCATAACTTGGAAAGAGAAGCTCCCATCGACCCCCTTTCAGCCTGCAATGCAAGGCCATGGCTGCATGGCCTGCATGCAAGGATTATTATTATAATCAGATAAAATTGGTCCTTCAATTCATGGCTTATTGTGGGATATTACTATGAGCAAATTGGTTTAGTGTCCGCCTACAAAATACACTTCACAAAAAACTGTGAAAAGCTTTGAGATATTTCTATGTTATAGGGGCTATATTGAATGCCAAGATTATTATTTTATGGAGCTTTAATATTTTTGCTGTCTAGTTTATTGGCTTCAATGTTTGTTGAAAGCCAATAAGCTTTTTTTTTAATAGGGCTGAAGATGCAGCTGAGATAGAAAGTTGCTGTTGCAATCTCTTTCGACGGTTCACAGGAAACTCTATTGCTGCAGTGGGTTCCTGCCATTTATTTTTACTAAAAGGGGAACACTGGTAAGAGAGTGTTAGGTATGAAGCAAGTTTGAAGTATTGAACAAAGGCCATTTAATCCATTAAGCATGTTAATGAAAATGATCCAAATACACACTTCTGCCCCACTCTATCTTGCACTCCCTGACCCCAAAGATAATCAAACACTTCAATACATTCACCCATCCTGACATAATCAAAGATGTCCCCTTCTCACGCAGCATATTTTAACACGGTCAAGCTACTCTGCACTTCTACAATTTCTGTTCCACTTTTCTCACCGCTGTTGCCGACAATTGCTGACAAAGTTCCGTGGTTGCTAGGGGTCCACCAGCACCTCCCCACAAGTGGTCATCCATGTGTGAGATTAGAAAGTACTGGACTTCATCCACATTTCACAAGAGCACATTTCAGCATGTATTACTGGTGATCGTGCTCCACAGCAGGAATACAGCCTTACTTCTCCTCTTCCAATTCCATTGACGTCAACCCATCCCATTGTCATCTGACTACGATCCACTCGCTCAGCATAGTCCTGTACCTAAATCTTTCAGTGTCTCCTGATTCAATGTACTTTGCTTAACGGGCAGATTATTTTATGGCGTGAATCATCCAGTTGATCTTCTTTGTCAAGACACAGTCAAGCTCCTTTTCGTACACACCGCTCATGCTTTATTTCGCACGTATACAATATAGGCACAATTTAACATTCTGTGAGCAACCCTTTAGCCTGCAGACATTTAGTGTCTGGGCTCACATGTGAAGAATGTGCATAGGGGTGATGCATGGAGGCAACCAGGACTGTAGAACCATATTCCTCCATTGGTTAAACATCTTCTGGAAAGAAAATAGGAGAGGAATCCCCCTACCGCCACCCACCCCGGACAAAAAAAAAGTGAGATCAAACATATTTGCATTTAGTACTTAAAAGTCTTTCCACACATGCACATTTTTTTCAGAACATCTTAGTGGCAGGAGCTATAAAGCTTATTTGGGGGATAGGTTGTGCATACGCCTGAGCTACTTTACTGAGGCCTAAAATATTCTGCCATCTTGTGGATACTTTTTAATGAAAATATAGATGTAGAAAAAAGTGTATTTTTAAGACATGTCCATCCCATTAAGAAGTGTCCAAAATATTCCAGTAGGTTATTAAACAGGACATGCCCTGAATGTTCTACTTTACAAACTGTTCTCCCACTAAATTCGTCAAAATTGTATCAACATTTATTCTTGCAGCCTGCTGGTCTGTAGTTTTCAGGTTATTTTTCTGACCCTTTTAAAAATCGTCCACTCTATTGTCTAATTACAATCCTCTAGAATCTCTCCCAACATCAGGTTAAAGCAGGGATAATTTCAGTGCCCACTAACTTTGGTGAGACTCAAAGGTGCACTCTGTTTGCACCAAGAAACTTGTCTGATGAGCTTGGTAGCATTTCCATTGTTGTTGATACTGTCAAGTACTCCACTTGTTTCTGACTTTCAATTTCTTGAACCCCAATACATATATGAAGTAATTCTTCTTAAAAAATCTTTAATTTCTATATCCCTTAATTCCTTCTTCCCAGTAAATAATTTTAGTTGGGTAATATTCTATTGATTCATTTGTTAACTACAAATCTATTAGAAACCTTTCTTAAAAAAAACAGCTTCCAATCCAGCCTGAATTTAAGAATTTCCCACAATTTTGCACATTTTTAAACTTTAATACAAAACTATCGTATAGGCTTTGCCTGAATGGAATATCAGAATTCTGAAACTGAGTTAACTTGTGTTGCTCTTGAGCACCATCTAGTGGATACATGGGGAACGGTATAGCAACACCTTGGAAGAGGTCACCTGTAACCCCTCAATTAAGGAAGAGTCCATGCAGAGGGATGGATGTCAATTAGGGTGAAAATATAAGGAAGCATGATAACCATGTTCAAGCCTAGACTACAATGAATTACTCAATCTGCTTTAGGCTGATGCCCCATTAATTTTACCCAAGGATCTAAAATTGACGGTCAGGGGTGAAGGGGAGATTACCAATGAGACTGATAAGTTATTGGTTTTTGCTTCCTATTTTGTCTGAAATTTGCAGACGTTTTAAACAAATCACACCATTTTATTTTCTTTAAAAAGTTATTTCCTTAATGCAACCCATATCTACAAAACTAGTAAAAGACATCCATATATTAATATCGAGTCTCTTACCCTAGTACTGCTAATAAAAAAACAATTTGATGAGCCAAGATAGCAGAGTAGCTTATTAGACTCCCTGAAATGGGAGTAAAAATCCAACTCCCCCTCCCAAATGCCAGTATGAATAGCCATAACCTAACAATAACATTTAGTGGTGAATAAATTCTAATTCTGTTAAATCTTTCAATGGAAGTGACAAAGCTCATTTCCTCTTTCAGGTAAGTCAATATTGACCACAAGCCACACACAACTCACCACAGCAAGTTGTGTTGATCTTTCTTGAAGGGCAAAGACATGAAAGAAGCGGATGGAGTACTTTTTCGGTAATTTTTATTTTGCATTTATTACCCTGTCATGCACTCAGTCAATTATTGAATGCGACATACGAAACAGGGAGGGGGGGATGGAATTTGTTTGGAAGCTGGATCATAAAATAATGGCAGCACTTTGAACAATTAGTAAGTGGGAGAGGAAGTAACAGATTAAAAATAAAACTTCATTTGTATTTAAAAATGGGGGTATAATGCATGCAAACGGCAAATGGGAAACATTTAAATGATTTGTACATGAGACGTGTAATCACAAATAGGAAAGTGCTTTGCACCCATTAACAGTATCTGACAAAAGCCTACTGGGCTATAGGTCGGAGTTCCACTTCTTAAAACAGAATTATCAGCAGCAAATGGTCACAACTTTGATAGGAGGAAGGTTTCACTTGGCTTCTTGAGCTTTCTTGGCATTTTGCTTTTCTTTAGCCTAAATGTTGATGAATAAATATGTTCGGTTATTTTGTGCATGCCCCAAAAAGTGCAACGTTTTATTTCTTTAACAAAAAGAACAATTTAACAGCATTCTGACGTTGCAAAACAAGACCACCATGGATTAATTTAATATTTGCTTTGAGTAGAAAGGAAAGCTGTCTGTACGAAATTCCTAATGACCCAATGCTATGGTGTGTGGAGAATGTAGAATGTAGACAAACATCTAGTCTAAGTTCAGCACTTGTTCCAATCCTAGTTTGCAGGGGCTCTCTCTTGTGGTGAGGTTTGTTTGACCTGGCCAGCCTTCCTCTATGGCTAACCAACCTTAAATGACAGTAAGAAAAGTAACATTAAACCCCCAATGACAAACTCTTAACATTGCACTGTCAAATGAGGTTAGAGGGCACGAACACAGCCTAAGATTCCTAGGCTACTTGAATCTGTAGTTTAGCTTTCCTCCTTACAACAGTAGGAGTCACCTCTTGCCACCTTGCACTTCCCGAATAAGAATGTATGTTAAATAACCCTCCTCAGATCCACATTTATAACTGCTCTTGAACCAGCTTTTTGAATTGACTCTTGAATTGAAGGATGTTCCCTCCTTCTCTCAGGCAAAGCTCTTCATCTCTACTCAACATGTCCAAAAATAACCTGCTCAAACCACAGACCCTCCTCTGGAATCAGAGGAGAGAATTCAGATACTATCACACCATGTTATAGCACATCAATGCATGAAGGCTGGACTGCACACAGGATAATTCCATTGGATACTCAACAAAACATCTTGATACATTAAGTGGTCAGTCATTGATATATTCAAATTCAGTTATTGACACATTACAAACTGGTAAGAAGTTGATTTGTTCACGGTTGCAGCACTAATATTCACAGTACAAATTTATTGTACTGAATATTTACAAAGTCAGGAACACTTTAAGAAGCTCACCTTTTCTACTAGTGGTATTAATTGCTGGTGTTCTGCCAACGTCTTTAATAGTTCCATAATAAAGGGCAAATAGTTGTGCTTTCTTCGGATGTTCTCAATCTAAATCAAGATCAGCACAACAGTTAGTACAAAAACTGTTGTTGGAATAGATACAACATACTCATTCAGATAACAAGCAAGTTCACACAATCTTTGAACAATTCGAGGAGTATTTCAGATATTCTACTCTTTTGTTCTGCATCAAAAGTATATTTTAATTCTATTCCACCAACTGCACATTGAATAAAATCACATCAATACAGCTGTACCAGGGCATACACTCTTGAACTGTCAAATAAATAAGCAAGGCTCCAATTAATATTGTTAGGACTCCAAAAGGACGAGAGCTGGATCTCAGGACTGAAGGATAGAAAATGACAACTCAATATTCAAAAAAGGAGACATAAGTTGGGAAATCATAGACCTATTAATATAACATTTCCTGTGGGTAAAATGTTTGAAAGCATTATAAGGAAGATATCTAGCGAAAGGCAAATTTGATTTTGCCTGTGAATGTCTTACCTAGCAGTCAACATGGATTTAGAAAGAATAGGTTCCACAAATTGGAGGCTTCAGAGAAGAACTACAAGGGTGAATCTGGGACTTATAGCTTGAATCCATGGAGAAGTATACTTTTATTAGGGAAAAGATGGAATGATAACAAAGACATCTGTCAGTTCTTTGAAATGGCAGGAGCCATTGGTAATGCTGATATAAACAGGCTATTTGAAGCAGAATTGTGAACAAAACTATAGAGAATAGATTTCAAATTTGCAAATCACAAGTGAGATTATAACCTAGAAGGTTCCACCCTTTCCAAGTGATAGATATCTTGCCCATGGAAGGCAGCGGACCATAGTTAAGCAGAAGAGATATGGAGACAGGTAAATATTTGTGCATTAAGGAGCAACAGTTTTCCTGTATTAGAATATCACAATATTTAACCACAATACATTTTTCGCTACAAGACAGTTCTGACAGATTTACACAAATATACTTTTCCTCACCAAATTTGATTCCCTTTCCTTTTTGTTGGCTAGGGCTCTAGGCACCTTCCAGCCCAAGTGGCGACTATACACAAGTAATGCTCGACATTAAGTATCAATAGGCTACTTAAGTACAGGGAGTATTGAGGCCGAACCCAATCCGGTAACCATCTTACGATCACACATGCACACCTTTAGCAGAATTACTGAATAGTAATAGACCTAGATTTTCTCCTCCCCAGGTTGGAACACCGAGGCCGATTGTGACTTTGCATTACGTCGACTGAAATCAGTTAACTTGGCAATGACCAGGGAATTGAACCAGAGACATAGCAGCCTGTATGCCTGTGCTCCTCATTAGACAATCTTGTGGAACTATCGGGGAGGGATGGGGTTGAAAAGCTTGACGTTATATTTTTCTTTAACATTGTCTGCCTTTCCTAATCTTTTATGCCTTTTTATTATGAGATATAGCCCCAATGTTATGTAGCACTAATATAGCAATTATTTAACAGTTCAGATTTTAATCTAATTTAAGTGAAACCTACCTTATATCGTTTTAATTTCTGATTTTCTTCTTCAATCAGCATCTGATATTTCGCCACTTCTGATTGTATGGAATTTATGAGACTGCTGCTCTGATCTGTATCCATTGGTTCTTCCTGCATAGAGAAAACAAAGAATAGAAATAAGCATTTTACTAGCAAATATCCTTTCAGGTTACCAAATCATTTCCAAACTGGTGTATTTCTGGGAATAACTTTCCACACTTTTAAAATGAGTACAAAGAGACGTAAATATAATATTTAAAATGGAAGGGGTGGGGAGGTGGGAAAAGAAGGAAGCATAAAGACAGTGACTGCTCCACTCAAAATATGCAATATTTCTGCAAGTAACTAAGCTATAATGTGTGGGGAAGGAAGCTAATGGGAAATCCAAGCTTCCTATTCCTACAAAAGTACTGGTGGACAAAAAGGGAAGACAACAGACAGTAAATGAATACTTTAAACCAGGAAGTCACAGAATTCTTGAGTGGTGCAAAGAATGTTGAAACAAATGAGTTGCTGGTGGCTAGAAATTATATAGGTTGGTAGTACATACGTCAGAACCCCAATGCAAAGCATTGCGATGCAAATTTACACTAAATTACCGAACAGCAACACTGTTTTGATGGCTGTCTCCAGGTGGAGGTGCTAATGTCTGATAACTCCCATCAAGGAATTGAATCACCTAGGTGTTCTCCTTTATAACTTTCAGTTGTAGCCTATCCTTCAGCCAGTGTACAGCAACCCAGAGAGGCAAGATGAGAAGAAAATAATGTTTTACTAAAGTAGGAAGGAAGAAATTGGAAAAGTCAGTTGAAAGAACTGCAGGAAAGTAAGAAACATAAATTGGAGGAAAATATAAAAAGCATAAAATATGACCGTGATCACAAAACAAATGGAAGTCCCAGGCCTGCAAGACTATGGCAGGTGTCTAGAAGTAAATATCTGCAGAAGCCAAAAAGATGGGAAAGTCTAGCTACTCCCTGGTGGACACAGAGCCAGTGAAGAAAACTGTAGAACTATTGAATAGCTACTTCACAGATTAGAAAGTAATTAAACATACGAGAGATTCACTATCCTTTTATGCTACTCTCCAGCAAAGTATCCGAAACTGTTGCAGAACCTAGCATTCTAAGGTCCATCATGTATTTAATATCAATCATTCAAAAAGGTTACTGAAACTTAGTGCTGTCTTAAAGGCATAATGGATGTTAGGCTTGCAAAATGGCTGAAAAGTTGGTGAAATTTAAACCAGAGGTTCAAAGCAAAGACAAAAAGAGGCTCAAGAAAAGCCATTGAAGAATGGAACAAAGAAAACTGCTTAAAATCATAATCACCTGAAAGAGACAAAGAAGCTTCAAGAAAATACTGAAATTACTTAAGAATGCTTTACAAAGTGAATGGATCAATCTGAAGATATTTTATGGGCTGTTTGGACCAAGCTAGGATCATTCTTTGACATAATTTGACATTTCACCTACAAAATACACAATCACTTCACAGTACATTCTATGAAGCACCTTTAGATGTCTCAACAATGTGATAAGGTGGTATATCAAATGCAAGGATTATTATTATTGTCTGGTACCTGAATGACTAAGAATAACTAAATGGGAGATGCAGCTGAAATAAACCAATTAAGCAATGTTGTGGGCATATCTGCATGCAGTATTGTGCAAAACGTTAGAATAATTGTCAAAAGATTATTGGGAGATGAAACTCACCCTATCTTTATGTCATAGAAGAGCACCAAGTGGTTGGGAAGCCAGTAAAGCACAGAAGAGCAATCAATAGAACTTGAACCCAGTTAGGAACAAGGGACCCACTTCCAGGAAAGACAGCATCACTGGAGCTTACCAAACACTTGTAGGAACTGGTGGAATGCAGTAGTCCACAGAAGATGAACAAACGCAGCCTCACCCTCCCTGGAAATATCACACAGATAGAAGGGAAGCCACTGGTGAGTTTAGATTTCTAATGTATGGCGGTTCAAACAGTGAACCATATCCTATCGTCCGCATGCATTACGTTCACCAATCAACATTTCCTTCAATACTTTGGGTAATTCCTCTCATCCTCAGAAATCTGTCAAATCTACTCAAAACTGATTCTGTTTCCCTTGAGCTACGTTCCAAATAGAGCTAAAAAACTATTAAAAAAATGACATGCACAAAGTGAGAAACTATATGCCACTGCTTTACATTCTGATCTCTAGCCACAGATAAAGCAAAAAACCCAGGGGAAAATGTGATTACAGATCTCAAGAACTAAATTGTATGGCTGAGCAGAAGCATTCATGGCTGGGTTGATTTAAGTTATATCTGCTAAAAACATATAAATGGCAATCTCATTTTAATACAGTCCTCTGAATCCAATCTCATCTCAAGTTGTAAACAAAATCTGAAAATATGGCCGATTTTAGTCATCGGGTCGACTCTTAAAACACTTCCTGCAGTGGTACGTCACGTGCACAGTGCACACATGCAGCACACAGAGAGTGATGTCAGTAGCTGCCTGACAACTTGGAAGTTGGCCACTTTGTAATGTGGGAAGGTAGCTAGCCAACGTCTGAGGTACTGCACTTCAGCTAGCTGGGGGCAAGCCATTGTAGTGGGTGGGCGGGGGTGGGGTTGGTGGAGAATTTTAATGGAGTTGCACCGTATACGGACTGGCACTCCATTACTCAACCCAATCCACCACAGTTCCGACAAAGCTTGCGTGACACCACAATCTCTATGCAAGGATCTAGGAAATTAGTAACCATGGATTGGGTAGAAAAATATCATTTCCATAGTAGGGAGCAACATGATACCAAATCTCCTTTGAACTGAATAGGCAAATATTTTAGAGGTAATGAATACAGGCATCATGGGAAGAAGTGGACTACACACACCCATATATTTTAGCCAGAAAGACTCCCATATATACACACACCAATCACTTGGTCAATTCTCAAAGATGCAAAGAAAACCCAATCTAGCTAGTTAGGTAGCTTTTATTATCTAGGAACTGGGACTACATAGTCATTGACGGAAATACTTTTAACAAGGTTGCAGAGAGTGGCTTAGATTCCCCACCTCTGGGGGGTGGGAGGGAGAGAAAGCTAAACAAAAAGTTAGATTCTGCATTCTCACAAAATTAAATGCATGCTGTTTTTTTCCCCATGCTATACATAATTTGTGGAAAATGTGATTTTCAATAGTTATTGCTCCAGAGAACAAGAGAACAATTTTGCCAACAACATTTACAAAAACAATCAAATAAAAAGACTGCAGAGAAAACGAAAGTAAATAATTGAAATGGAGGAAAGGTCAACCCAAAAGTGGAAACGGATTGCTTAGGCTAAAAGTCATTGAATTTGGAAACTGGTCAGAGACCATCACAGTGATATTCATGACAATATACGCGCACCCACATTGTGCGCACAATTCACCCACAACACATTTCATGCCTGTGAATTTAGGTTCTCATTATTGCATCAACCATCAAACAAGTTTCTCTATGCCAGCCACTGGAAGGAACTCCAGCTCACTGACAGAAGGACCAGGTCAGCTTCTAGCAGCCCTATCCTTCTTCCAGTGAGACAAATTGCTCCATCTGGTGGTTTTACAGAGAACCGCCCAAATCAGCTGAATGATTGAGGCAAAGCATTGGGGCAAAAATGCGCAGCATCAGAATGAAAGAGAAAGGCGAAGGCTTTGAGTAGGACCTTTCTTTTGGGCTGGAAAGATCAAAATGTTGATGCTGAGACTTGCAACAGTCAGTTCAGCGATACACCAGTACATCTACCAAATTGCTAAAACCACTTATAGAAAATGTGAAGACCAATTAGAAAATGTGACAATAATATGATTTTATGTGGAATTTGGAGCTCATTCTACATAGAGCAGCCTATCTGGAATTATTTCCCTCATAAATCATCGGTTGCTGAAAGCTCAAAAAACCCTGCACTGATTTTTAGCATTGGGAAATACTGACTGCACTCATGGCATCGCCACCAGTCTCTGTCACTGAGCTCTCTGTGCCAACTTCAGCGGCAAACTCACCTGATAAGGGCGGGCTGATTCAAGCATAATTTGGATTTAGCCTCTCCATATGAGCCCTATCCCATAAATACCCTTTTATTTGGTAAAAAATCCTACAATTATAAAAGGCACTGCTTTAATGAAACCCACCAGTTGCTCCCTCGACCCCATCCCTACCCCCCCTCCTTACCCCCAAGCTCCACCTCCTTGCCCCTCTACTCACTGACATCGTTAACCTCTCACTGTCCTCTGGTACCGTTCCCACCCCTTTAAAAAACGCTGTCATCACTCCTATCCTTAAAAAACCCTCCCTGGACCCTTCTCTATCCCATAACAACCACCCCATCTCCAACCTCCCCTTCCTCTCCAAGGTCCTGGAACGAGTTGCTGCTTCTCAGCTTCGCTCCTTCCTCTCCCGCTATTCCCTTCTCGAACCTCTCCAATCGGGGTTCCGTGCCGCCCACAGCACAGAAACAGCTCTGGTCAAAGTGACAAATGACATTCTGTCCATCTGTGACCCAAGGCTCCCTCTGTTTCCTTGACTTCTTTGCTGCTCGACACCGTCGACCACTCTATCCTCATCCACCGCCTCTCCTCTCACCTCAACCTCCACGGCGCTGTCCTTGATTGGTTCAGATCGTACCTCTCACACCGCCTGCACTTCATCTCCTCAAATAGCTTCTCCTCTAGCCCCCGGACCGCCTTGTGCGGCTTTCATCAGCGTTCTGTCCTTGGTCCCCTCCTCTTCAACATCTATATGCTCCCTCTTGGTGACATAATCCACAGACATGGGGTCAAGTTCCAAATGTATGAGGATGACACCCAACTGTACCTCTCTGTCTCCACCCTCGACTCCAGGGCCACTGCTGTCCTGACAGAATGTCTCAGACATCAAGTCCTGGATGAGAGCTAACTTTCTTCAGTTGAACGTCAACAAGACCAAGACTCTCCTGATTGGCTCCCGTCAGCGCCTTCTCACCTCAGGCGCTGACAGCATCACATCCGTGGTTGCACACTCCACCTTACTAAGCCAGTCCAGAACTTCGGGGTCTTGTTTGATCCTCAACTATCCTTTCTACCCCACATCTGGCCATGACCCGCTCTGTCTTTCCCCCATCTCCGCAACGTCGTCCGGCTCCGGCACTGTCTCACACCACAGGCCGCCGAAACCCTCATACACGCCTTCATTACATCGAGGCTCGAATACACAAACTCACTGCTTGTCGGCCTCCCCAACTCCTCCCTCCACAGGCTGCAGATCATCCAGAACTCTGCAGCCCGTGTTCTCTTCCGCACTAGGCTCCACAAACCTATCACCCCCATCCTGGCCCAACTCCACTGGCTTCCCATCACACAGAAGATACAGTTTAATTCCTGGTCCTCACCTTCAAAGCCCCTCCAGTCTTGCTCCCCCCTACCTCTCCGACCTCCTAACCCCCTACCACCCTGTTCGCTCCCTCTGCTCAGCAGGCTCCGGCCTGCTTCATGTCCCCCGCCTTGCTCTCGCCCCACTATCAGCGGGCGGGCCTTCCGCCACTCTGCACCCACCCTCTGGAACTCCATCCCGCAGTCCCTCCACCTCGAACCCTCCCTCACCACCTTCAAGACCCACCTCAACACACTTCTCTTCGACCGTGTTTTCAATCTCCCTGCTTCCCCCCCTGCCCTCCCCCACCCCGACCCTCAGCTCGAGTCGGTAACTCTATCTGTCCAGTGCTTTGGGATGTCCTCCCAACGTGAAAGGCGCTATACAAATGTAATTTTGTTGTTGTTAAACTACCAATATTATCCTTCCACTCGTAACTGGAAGGTGCTAAATAGAGAAGTTACCTGTCCGAGATAAAGCAGAAAGAAAGGATACGTTAATCCATATTACCTTCAAGAGTCTTCTCGTTTAACAGAAACACTGACAGATGCTTGGGAAAATTCACCAACCTATCCCTCCTACTTTGAAAACAGCACAAATGGCATTAAGAGACAACTCCTCACTACTCCACTCTGTGCAAGAGACAAGATTATCACACTCTCAAACTGTGCCACTCAAACAGCTTTAACATTTCTAGCAAAACCCAACTTAATGAAGTTCCCAATAATGTCATCTTCTTAATACTTAGGTTCGATTTTCCGCTTTATCACACTGCCAAAGTGCTTCACACAATGAGTGGTTTAGAAATGCAGTGAGCTTTATGGATATGGCAGCAAATCTATGCTTATAACTAAATTTAATCCAAGGACAATGGCTAGGCTACAGGGAGAACTTCCGCTTCTTCAGAATAGCCATAGTAATGTGCAGCTAAACTACTAGAATAGGCAGAGAGACTCAGTCAGTTCAACATCTCACCTGAAGAAGTGCTGATAACTCACTTGCAACTTTTGTTGCTCATGATTTACACAGATTTCCAACACTCAAACATCCTATTGAACAACTTTCTGTACATTTGCCCTCTAGATACAGGTTGAAAAAAGGCCTGCTACAGCAATTTACAGTAAAATCCTGGGTTTATTTATATAAATTGAAAATATTCGATGCTCATATTTACAATATAAAAGTAAATAGCCTTTGGGTATCTTCATACGCATTTTTAAAAAAACTGATATTTTGAATGGGATAGCGATAGCAGGAAGCACAGGCAACTCTGTGCAAAGTGGACTCAGGCTGACCTGACGATCTTGTAAAGTGAAAGCAAGTATTCAGAACAGAGATAATGAAATGAAGACTCCCTAAAAGTGCAATAGGGAGATATAAAAATTAGATTTCCATTTATTTTTCTGACAGTATAAACAAAAAAGATATTACATTTACAATAAACACAGGGAAAAAAATCAACAAACATAAGGTGTACACTGGTCTCCCTTTGTGCCAGTAAATGCACTCACCTCTGTCAGCTGTCTCTGTAATTCTGTAATCTTTTTTTCATATACCATCTTTCTGTCTGACACAATTGCCATAAGGTTAAACCGTATCTCTCCTTCACTGTACCTGGAGTAAAAAGAGCCCACAAATTTTCATTAAAATTTAATTTGGTTTTGTGATAAAACCAAGACAACAAAAATTGCACATTAAACATTTTAAACCTTGGAAAATTAATCAATTTAAACTACTTTGTAAATGTTAAGGGTTTTAGGACAGAAAACATTTCCCCCCATCGTGCTACATAAAATAGACTTTTAAAATCAGTCAGTTATTGGATTTTATGACCTTTGCAGTGAATTTTGTCTGAAAAGTATTGACATCAACTAAACCAGGTTCATTAAACTATATACATTGGGACCATAATAAACAGATAATTTATCTTTGGATAGGGCAGCTATAAACTGTGGCAAACAGTCGCCAATTGGTAAATAGTCCCTCAGTCAATTAATCATTCATTTAGAAATTCATTCTTACATAAGCACTTTACGAAAGTGTAAATGTTTCTTCCTTCCACACTTTAAAATCAACAATGGGTTCAAGCACCTTTGTACAACACACATGAACGACCAGATAACTGGGAATATTTTATGCTACAATCAGGTATTTGTGGAAATGAAGTGAGTGGCAGCACATGGTTTGATTAAGTTATACATTTACTAAGGACCACTGTATTGCATTTGAGTGGTTCCCCATTCGGTATCTGTAAATAATATCATGCATATCATTTTGGATTTCATGAATTCCCTCAGGAATAGTGATAAGGGACGTAAACTTGAAAGCACTAGCCCGCTAAATGGGAGTTAAAATGAACAGAGTACTAATGCGTAATGGACATGATTGCTGTAAGCTCCAGTTTGAATAACCTTAAATTTACCTGCAATAAATGTTCCTTGACAATCGTCTACCCAAGTAATAAGCTTCTAGATCCTTCTGAACAACATCTGGCCCTTCCACACAGTTTCGAACTGTCAGCACATTTCAAAATCTACCTAATCAAAACCATTAATGAATGATCAGACAGACCAGTGGACCTAGCAGCAATCCCTGTTGAACTCCACTGGTTAACATTCCTCAATGCAATAATTTCCAATAAATGCATATGTAAACACATAGATCATTGAGAATAAGTTGCTCTTATGTGACTAAAACATCAGCTGTAAGCCAAACAATATTGTGCGAAATAAAAGGAAATAAAGACTTACTTCTGTATTCGTTTCTCTATGACTGGTCGCACTGCACTAACCCAGTCATCTTGATTGCATGTTCCTAGGAAACAAATAACACTTATTACAATAAATTTTATAATAATTCTTGCTTTTGATATAGCACTTTTTCATATCAGGAGGACATCTCAAGGCACTTCACAGGATTTTACTAGTGACTGTATATTTTGTCTGTGAATTTCAACATATATATGTATAAAATAATTCATAAATTATAATATTCTAGATATAAATTTTAGCTCAACTCTTGAAAATCACACATAAGTGCAAGATGATGTCAGTAAATATATTCATTGGTCTGTGCTGAGTTATCTGATAATAATAATCCTTGCATTTGACATAGCACCTTATCACGTCGTTGAGCCTAAATTGAGAACACTCTAGCCTCGCAAGTGAGAGACCTGGGTTCGATTCCCGGGAGGGCGAAATCTTGGGGAAGTTTCCTTACTCCACATGCCTGTTAGTAAACCCTCAAGAAAAAAAACATTAATAAAATTGGCCACTTCAATCCACAACTGTTGTAGGACACTGCTGTGCGCAAATGGCTGCTGCGTTTCGTCCGCAAATATACAGTCAATTCACTTCACGGTATATTCTGTGAAGCACTTTGAGACATCTAGAAGACGTGAAAAGTGCTGTATCAAATGCAAGGATTATAACAAAATCTGCCAGGTTTCGATACTTATATCTACGGTGATGGGTTTCCACGTGTCGAACATCTGGCTGCTCAAAACAAAATCCGGTGACAACCTCTCCCCTAGATTGAAAGGTGCGTAGAGTACATAAATGGACAAGATTGGTTTACACTGTTTACCTTCCAATAATAAAAAGCACACTATCATTGACAGTCAATGAAGAACAGCCAATGAAAGAGGTCAGAAAGGAATGTTATCAGCACAATGTACCAAAATCAGGGCAGGACCAGAGAGAAGTGGAACCTGAATTGATTCCGCTTCCTCACTCTAGATTGCACAATAAGTACATATATAGAGCACCTTTCACGTCGAGAGGACGTCCCAAAGCGCTGAACAGTCAGGTATCGGGGACTGAGCATGAGGGAGGGGTGGTGTAGGGGTGACCGAAGGCAGAGAGGTGGGAGGGACACCAAAGGCATGGTCGAAGTGAAGGGTCTTGAGATTGGCCTTGAAGGAGGCAAGGGAGGAAGCGAGGGCAAGGGACCGTGGGATGGAGTTCCAGAGCATGGGGGCAGAGGCCAAAAGCCACCAATGGTAGGGCGGGTCGGGCGGGAGACATGGAGCAGGCCGGAGCCCGATGAACAGAGGGAGCGGGCAGGTTGGTAGGGAGTCAGCAGGTTAGAGAGGTAGGAGGGGGCAAGGCCATGGATGGCCTTAAAGATAAAACATGGTGACAGAAATGTTTTGAGAAATGTTCGTCAACTGTTCAATTATTCCACCAAACTTGATTATCCGGATACCTTCTGCTCCAACTAGCTTGGATTGTCCAACTGAAAATGCATGAAACAAGAAAATTGTTTGGCAAACAGTCCTGGCTAAGGCTTGTTAAGTAACGGGATTATAGTTACCCAAGTCTATTGGTCCTTCCCTTAATCCATCATGTTCATACAACCTTCCATTGACGGGAAAGTAACTGACAAAATGGAACGCATCTTCTTCCTTTCCTGCGGTCTTCGCATCAAACTCAAACATCTGCTGCCTAGTAAGGAAAGAGACAGATTAATTTAAATGCCCTTGAGAACAATGTGCAAGAAAACAAGGGATGTGTTGCTGGTTCTCCATACCTGGCAAAGCCATTGTGAACTTGTCGAATGACTTCAGAGTTGCTTAGGGCCAAGCCTTTCATCTGTTTTAAAAGATCAGAAAGAAATCAGTGCTTACATAACTACTGCCATCTGGTTAGCTTCACACTGCTTTCCCAAACCTGAACTAAATTGGAATTAAGTCCAAAATGGTTACTTGCAGCAGGCAGTTTTAGTTGAAAGAATCACAGAGTATAGCTGTGACACACAAGAACATCTAAATTTTAAAAAGAAGAATTTTCCAAATCTTTGCAAGCTGAATGTGATGCACCATCTCTTTTCACTGAGGAGTTAATACTGGCTGTATTGTACAGATGTCACATTGTAGTGCACATTTTTCCAGTCCACTTTACCTTTATTGAAAAGTTATTCTTTATTCTGAGAGTCGAGTAACGTAAATATGTCAGAAGATCTGCATTGAGACAATTATACTTATACTTACAGCAGCATCAAAACTTTGTGAGAATTCTTTAAATTCTCCTAGAGTCTCTCCCAGCTCTATATCAGAATGGTTACAGTTCAGTAATACGCTGATTATGGCTTGAGTAGCACAAGCATTATTGATAACCTGAAGCAGAAAAAANTTAAAGGTGAAATACGTACAGTGAAAAGGCAAGTCATTGTGCAACCCAGCCCTTGCAGTGACTCGTAGTAGATTCCACACACTTTGCAATGACTCCCAGTAGATTCCATACCTGAGATGTACTCAGTAACGCAATTTAGGGAGTCTGATCAACATTCATTCAAGTAAACTTTCTATCTGCCCAAAATATTTACCTTTTTGGATCAGGACTGCAGGAACACAGCACATGTCCATTCTTACAGAAATAGCTTGAAGGAATTTAAGTGCTCCAAGGCGCCATCCGGCATGAAGGGCGCTATATAAATGCAAGTTGTCGTCGCTGTTGTGTCAATCAGTGGCATGTTTAACGCGGTACTATATGCAACTGGACTTAAAACATGAGATCTCACATGTGATCAACCTGTAGAACTGATATCAACAATCAACTCCGCAGTTGAGAATTCTAAAAGATTTTATTCCCCAAACAGTGGGTAAATAAACCTAAAACACAGAAATGGAGGTTTAACTTTTTCAGCTCCCGCCCCCCCACGCCCCTCACTTTACTCCCCTGTGTTATTTTGCAGGAATCTATAATGAAAAACAGGCATATCTCCAGAGAGAGCAAATCATAAACAAGATGCCCTTGTGTAACTCCCAGCAGTTGGCATAGATCAGCATCAGCTAACATTAGGAACAGGTTATTTGCCAGGCAAAAAAAAAACCACAAAATCATTGCACAGGACTTTAACTAACAAAACGCAAAAGGTTGCAAACACACTTAGGAACTACTATATTATTATTATAACAACAACTTGCATTTTATATCACCCTTCACACGGGGTAGCAAGCCGGGGCACTTCACAGTGGCGGAGTCTGACAAAGGGCCTGGGGGAGATGGAGGTGACCGTAAACACGATCAAAAAGGAAGATCTTTTGGCAGGATTTGAAGATGGACAGCGAGCGGGCAAGGCCGAGGGATTGAGGGAAACAAAATATATGTATACAGACAGTAAAATTGAGTGTTCAGACCTACCTGTTTTGCAAAGAAGATTTTCTCAAGTCTTGAATCTTGGACAATGGATCCTGCTGGTTCTTCTCCTGGCTGCCATTTGAATAGGAAAATTAGGCCATGAACTGGTCTGGAAGCAGAAAATAGGTTGTTGATACTGCTGTGTTCTACTTTTATCATTCATTTTTCAAATAGGCTATTTTTAAAGAATGTTTCTGAGCTTTAAAGATAGTTTGGCATATTATGGGTTCTTAAAAATATTTTATGCATACCTCTAAGGTTAAAATTTTACAGCAAATACACGCAATTGTAATGAAAATACAGTCTTGGTACCAGAAGAAGCTTGTAAAAAAAAAAGTGGAGATTTCAATCACCAGCATGGTTACATAACAGGATATGTTAGCTCCTGTTTACCATCTAGGTTGCCAGCATGCCAACACTGAAATCTGGCAGTTATTGCAAACAGTTTTGGGATATCAAACATGAAAGCACTGTATTCGAACAGGTTCATAGATGCAATCAGTGACTTCTTGAACATTTCTTATTTAACTCGGCAACTGTGGTCTTTAATTCTTTCCTAATCTCCCCTTCCCCCTATGCACGTGCACAGAACCTTTAGAGATCTCTAGTTTTTTTTTGTTTGTTATTCAAGTGTGTAACACATTGTTTTTGTGAACTTAATAAGTGACAAAGCACACATAAATATTACATATTACCATCTCAAATTATGATGAAGGCTATTCACATATATGGCAGTTTTGCCTCTACGGTACCATAGGTCATGAAATGATTCTTACACATACATCTTTGCATTTATTACTTCCATTAGTTGATTCAACTTCACTACCTAGATGGTAAACATTCTGATCAAACATCACTTTATTTCCCATCAAAAAAAATCAACTACAATCACCATTATAACCAGGAGTGTTAGAAACCACAATGTGCAGAATCATGAAGAGCAAAAATGGGATTTTGATACATGTTCTAAGACAACTACAGTAATCTGCTGATAACTCATCACTCCAAGTGACTTGTTTTTATATATCTATATATACACACATACATACACAGAAATAAATGAGGCCAGGATACTGTTTACTTACTTCAACTTATCAAAATGTTCCGGTTCTAAGCTCCAGATTTCTTCTACCTGAACTCCTTTACACCCTGGAAAAGAAAACAGCACTTATATCCAGGATTCCGCCACTACCTCACCCTCCAATCAACTGAAACCTTATGCATACCTTCAACATTTCCAGATTCAACTTTTCCAACGTGTTGCTTACCAGCCTCCTGAAACTACTTTTGTTATGCCGAATTTTTGTGAACAGGTGCAATCAGGGATCCAGGGGTAACCCTGCCACCAAGTCATTTGCATCAGTGCACCTAGGACATTCCAATACATTGCATCACCAAGTAAGTGGTGGTCAAATGTAGTTGGTCAAAGTTTGGGAAAGTTCTACGAGTAACTATCTCTACCTCAGGCCTGAGGTAACACCTATATCCCTAACCAGCATCTGTATATTTTGCTGGTACTAATGAATGAGTCAGAATCTTGCCCAGAAAGCAGAATTGTTCTGAAACCATGAATTTGTCTGAAAAGTGCCTCTGCTTTTTAAACTATACAGCTACATTTGTCTTTACATTCATTGAGGATGAGAAAATTGAGTGAAGTTGTTTTTCTATTAAATTTCCTACTTAACACTTTTGTGAAGGATTATACAGATCCACACGCATGACCCAATATATGGCCTACTTGCCTTCAGAGATAATTTACACATCAAAATTGGTGGTTTCCAATTGTAGTACTGGTCTGCACGAATAACACTGATGGTAAAGAAACATGGTCACCGTAGCCTGAGCAATTCAAACTCTCCAGCTCCCCTTTGCAGATTTTGCACCACTCACCTGTGCAGAAGTTCTTATGTAATTGGGGAAGCTACAGGAGCCAAAGAAGCTGTATAAAATTGTTCTAAATCAACCGTGTGTGACTGCTTGCATATTATTGGCTATTTTAAAATGCTTTCCTGAACATCTGACTTGGGTTCAGAGAATCGGAGAACCCTCCGGAAAAATTACAGTATCTACACCGAGAGTGCTACCTGTATCAATTCAAGCTGTTGTAAAAATGCTCTGCACTTTCTACAGACAATAGCTCAATCACTTCAGAATCTCAATGACATCGAACTAAAGTGTTTTCGGCTCCTTCTGCCTTGGCTTCTGTTGAACCATGTTGTTAACACGTTTTGTTTTTAAAAAAAACGGCAGAGCGCGGGAGGCACAGGGAATCAGAGCCTCATCGTGTAGCTATTCTGCTATATAAACAACCCTCACCGGGCAATATAACTATGACTGCACGATTCACCATGGACCAATATCCAGTGAAATGTGCATTTAATCAGCCAGAGATCCAAAATGAAACGTATATTATCTGAGTTCGTTTTCTACCGGGCAAGATAAACGTGTCCAAATGGTATGTAGTCTTGGCATATGTTCCAGCCTATTGGCTCGATAGGGAAATGGCTCCAAGTCCGTTTTAAAGAGGCAAACTGATCAACGCAACCAAATCGAAACACGATATTCTGCAAGTTTTAAGTTTTCATTCAAAACGTTTGCTTTACAACACAAGGTGCGACGCTTGGAAACCTTTTGCTGTTACGGTTGCCTCGCGATCAACAATACGGGTTCGGATTTGCGCAGCAAATAAGCGGGTCTTCCGAGTCTTTGAAGCGAATGGCAATATTATCGGGAGTGTAGGGGGGTGTGTGGTGTGTGTGTGTAGTTTATTAGGCCCCTAAACTGAGTCAGATGGGAGGGTAGGACCAGGCGTGGCGAATCCCAAGAGTTGCTCGGTATGAGTCAATCACGATTACAGCCTAGAAATAAGTCGGGAACATATAAAAGCGAAGCAATCAGAGACCATACTTAAACATGTAATGCTACAGATCGCTCTGGAAACCGAGGCAAACCTGCGGCAGCCCCAAAGGCCCAGGCGCTTCTGCTCTGTGCGCCCCCACACACACACACACAGGACCCAGCAAGACACCGGCCGGCGAGCTTCCCCCCTCTCCTCCCTTTCCCCACCGCCCTCCGTGGACTTAACAATGGAGTCAAATAACACAGCCAAGAGGACGCACCGAAGCCCTTGATGAGCTCTGTGAAGACCCCGGGGTCGCTCTCCATCAGACACCACTCTCCGGCGTTGCCCGCCATTTCTGCAACGGACGGGACTCGCGCCGGGCTCCCGCACTGCGCAGGCGCGGAGTTGGGAGGACCGCAAGCTCTTCCCGGCAGCCCCCGAGGCACCCGCCCCGCCCCCCACATCCCTCCTCCCCGCCCCCCCCCTCCCCGCCCCCCCCAGTGTAACACGTGCTGCTGAGGTAACCCACGGATCCTCCTGACTCCTCCTTGAGATCAGAGGGTGTCGAAACTCATCTGGACGTAAGGGCCGTCTAAGTTAACATTGTTCACTCGGTGGGCCTCACCCCCTAATATATATATATATATATATATATACACATGTACGTGCCTGACAATATCTCGTGATTGCGTGTAACATTCGCTCAAACTACGTTGGCGTGAAACATGACTCCCACTCCCACCGCGCAATTCCTGGCCGTCAAAAAGGAGGTCGGCGAGTTGCGAAGTCTCAATAGATAAACGTACAGTCAAAATGGCTCTCGTACCAAATAAATTGACCCTCCTGTTCGACTGCGGATTCGGCCACTTTCCTAACACCCATCCACCACCGCCCACGAGCCCAACCCGGATCCAAATCCCAGACTGTCCAGTCCAGCGCCTTGGGACAAGTGTAATTTGTTGCTGTTGTTGCGCAGTGTGGATGCAATTCTGTATAAAAGTGCCCACCACCCACTCCCAGTGCGTGTGGTCCAGGCGCCTGAGCCGCTGCAGGTACCGGGTGTCGCCACTGGTGGCGCTGTGGGTGGGTGAGAGAGAGAGAGAGAGGGACGGAGAGAGGAGGGACGGTGACTGACTGACTGGCGGTGACATCAGTGGGGAGCGGGTGCCCGGATGTTGCCGTGGTAACCGAGGCCCGAGTGCGGAGTGAGCGGACGGTCAGCACCGGCACCGCGGGCGGCGGCGGCGGCTCGCGGCAACATGCAGGTGGATAGCCGCCAGCCGTTGCTAACGGGGGAAGGCCCTCAGGTAACCAATTTTACCGCGTTATAATTGCAGCTTCACGGACTCCCCCCACTCCCCCCCCACTCCCCCCCTCCCCTCCGGGCTGCACACCCACCGAGGCTGAAAGCTCATTGCGGTCAATTCATTTACCAGCGCCGCAGGAGAAAGGCCTTCGGCAGGTGTTGGGACTAAATTGAGGGCTAAGGTTACGCGTCGCATTCTTTTTCTTGTTCCATCCGTGGAGTGAGGTACCAGTTTTTGTTTTGTTTTGTGTGGTCAGGAGCCCGGGGCAGCCCTTCTTTACAAATGATAATGCCGCGGGATCTTTAATGTCCATCTGAACAGGCAAAGGCAGATGGGATCTTGGTTGAGTGTCTCGGCTGATAGACTGCACCGAGGACAACGCAACATAGCCTCCCTCCCTCCCTCCCGCTGTTGTATTGGAGCGCCGGCTTAGACTATGTGATTGCAAGTCCCGACTTGGGGCTTGAACCCACAACCTTCTGGCACAGAGGTGCGAGTGCTTTTTTTAAAAAAAACATAATAAATTGGTCATTTTCAATCCATGACTGTTTGTGGGACACTGCTGTGCGCAATTGGCTGCCGCGTTCGCCCACAAAATATACAGTCAATTCGCTTTACAGTATAATCTGTGAAGTGCTTTGGGACGTCTAGAAGACGTGAAAAGCGCTCTATCAAATGCAAGGATTATTATTATTATTACCACCTTGCCATGCCAGGAGTGATTGATTACAAAATAACTGTGTAAAGCAGCTTCAGCTAGTATTTTTTTTGTGAACAAAACCTGCAAATATAGTACTTGATTTCTCAATTAAAAATAAATCTTTCACTGAATGTATCATGACCAGCGTATTATAAATATCTCTACAATATAGCTCACTTGTAACCAGATCAGTTATGAATTACCCAGTTAATTTTATAAGTAACAATATTTGTTATCTGCATAATTCAAATCCTCTATTTTAGTTGAATTTTTAAATACGGTTAGTGCTTCCTCCAAGACTCTCAAGCCAACACAATTGTGTAGAACTAGAGTAGGTTCTGACCAGCAGGCCCTTCCTTCCCATAATCCTTGAAATCAATTTATTTTCTGTTAATCCCAAATATAATAAGGAAATTAATTGTTCTAATATTTTTTTGAAAAGGTTAAAGTGTTTTTTTNAATTAATAGTTTGTTCCAGATGAATCTAAAGTTGATAAACCACAAGTGGATTCAATTGTACACCAGTTGGAACCATTGAATGACCAGCAAACAATAAACTCTGCAGGTGGATTTGTGTGGCAAGTCACAGATGTGACCCGTCTGCGTCGATTCCTCTGTTTTGGTTCAGAGGGTGGAACATATTGTGTCAATGAGGAAAGACTTGGAAGAGAAACTGCTCAGGCTATATTGAGACTGATAGAAGAAGGTAAAGGGGTTGAGGTTGTGCAAGAAATAAAGACATTCAGTGTTGAAGGAAGAACAGCCAAGCAGGATCCTGCTCTATTTGCTTTGGCTCTTTGCACACAAAGTTCTGATGCTTCCACAAAACAAGCTGCATACAAAGCCCTTTCTGATATTTGTCGTAATCCGACCCACCTATTCACATATATCCAATTTAAAAAGGATATCAGTGGCGGGATGAAATGTGGCATATGGGGAAGAGCCCTGAGAAAAGCAGTATCGAACTGGTATAACAGTAAAGATGGGATGGCAATAGCTATGGATGTTACAAAATACAAGAAGAAGGCAGGATGGTCCCACAAGGATTTGCTGCGTTTGTCGCATCTGAAGCCAGCTAACGAAGGTCAGTAACAATATTTTGCAGCGATTAGAATTGAAATTGACATTCTCATTAAAATATGTTTTTAAATTTTGTTTAAATAGCTTTTTGAATGTAATTGAGTCGAAAGATTGACACAAGCTAATTAGTTGTTCCTGGATCATTAGTGATGAATTTTCTTCCCCCAGATACACACAGGCATATTTAGTTATTTTGTATTTCAGCCAATAAATGTATGCATCCCAAAACAGAAATCTATAGGAAGGCATCAGTTCTGCTCTAGAACAATAAGAGTACAATCTTCACAAACCTGATTGTGAAGTTCCTTATGCCTCCACCTACCATAATCTATTATTGATCTCCAGTGCCTTGTGAAGTCCTCCCGGTGTGGAAGTTGCTATCTAAATGCAATTTGTTGTTCTATTTTTAAATCAACAAATTTAAAAGGGGAAAATTAATTCTGGAGAAGATTGTAAATTCCAAGTGTTTCTTTCTACCTCCATAAAAAACAATTGCTCCAGTGTTGAAAAGCTGTCTATGCCCAGTGGTTGAGATTTTTTAATTTATTAATTTTCTTTTCTCATCCTCCATTGAAGGTATTTTTGCTTCTTCTGAGGTATAGCTGTATAGGTGTCAGGCTCCTCTACAACCTCACAAAGGTGCCATTACTCATGTGGAGTCCTGTAGCTCAGTGGTTAGAGCATTCATCTTGCAAGCGAGAGATCTGGGTCCGATTCCCGGCAAGGTGAAACGTTTCTTTACTCCACACGCCTCTTTACCTAGCAGTAAGTAGGAACCTGGTTGTTAGTCGATTGGCGGATCGCTTTTCCTGGGATAATAATTCCTTGAAAAAATAATAAACTGGTCACTTCAATCCACGACTTTGTGGGATACTGCTGTGTGCAATTGGCTGCCATGTTTCGCCCACAAAATGTACTGTCAATTTTGTGAAGCGCTTTCAGACGTCTCAAGGACGTGATAAGGCACTATATCAAATGCAAGGATTATTATATTATGTATGAGCTTTGACAGTCAATTTTAGCATGGTATTCCACTATGTGTGAGGAGACCATTATAACAGAGCCCTATCCTGCTCACACATTTGCAGCTTTAAACCGTGATCTCACATGAATTATGGAAGTAAGCAAGATTATCAAATGTAGTCACTGCCTTTTGTAAGTAAGCAAAGAACACCCTGATATTTCTTTTATTCTTCCCATTTAATTCCATAGTCAACATGGGAACATTCATAGAAATTCTAACATCTGGAAGAAGCTGGAGTGCCCATGGGTGTGCACTTCAGATTTAAATGTAATTTCCAACTGTGGTTTGCAGGTAGTCTGTCACTGACGTTTACACTCAGTGTGGGTGTGTATTGGTGCCATTTGTATAGCTGAGTGAGCATATTGGCTTGGGCAGGTTTCTTGTCCTGCTTTTCTTAATTGCATTTGGTCAATGTTCCCAGGAAAAGCCTCAATTCTCATTTATTCCAACCTATTGAACAAGGGGTTTAGGACTAGCACATAGGTGTCTTTAGTGAGTATCGGGTGAGGAATTGCAATATATGCCAAATATTCCACAAATTCATGTGTTAACATAAGAGTGTAAAATATAATTAATTGCCAATAAAAACCTATGACCAAAATACATTGAAATGCTGGTGACCACAATTTGCACATGTACATTATGCCTATCAGAAATATGCATATTTCCAAACATAATTTGGAAAAATCAGAACTCTGATAGGATTGCCCTGGTATCTGGGGATAACTTTAACCTAAAGATAACAAATGTTTAATGATATTGTATATTAATATAAAGTGCCAACTTTTGCAATAATAATCTAATGCACACAGTATAAAGTTGATATAAAATAGGTAATCCACATCAGAGAATGAAGACTGTTTCAAGCAAATTTGATCATTTTATTAGATCTTACGTTGGTCACCAAGTATATTATGAAAGGTTGGAAGGAAGTTGAAGAAGCCTATAAGGATAAAGAAAACTCAGATGAAATTCATCGACTGTTGAAATATTTTGAAGTTCTGGAGAGGGTGAAAATGACAAAAGATGAACATGAGGTTGCTCAGCTTGTGGAAGAGTACAAGTTGGTCACAGAGCACCTTCTGACTAATCATCTGAAATCAAAGGAGGTGAGTAAACTAAAGGGGTTAGAAATTATTTTGCTGTATGATCAAAAGTAGTAACTAAACCCGTGATGCTAGATGGGTGGATTTAAATCAAATGATAGCTACTTTAAACACCATTTTTTTTTTAATGCTCTTATTTCCTTTTCGCTGAGCAACATTTCTCTTTCATATTATTCCTTAATCGATTTGGGGGAGCAAACCTCTGAAGAACTGAGCTATTTTTCTGTTTTAAGATTTGTGTAGCATGCCTCAAGAGACTTTCCCACTGATTTTTATTGCTGCCCTAACTTCCTGAGATGGAGTACATTATTACAAAGTGCTTTATTAATGGTATTGCTGAGAACTGAGCATCTGTCCAATAAGTAAGTTATTGTTGGATTTAGGCTATTCCATCTGCCATATAAAGAATGACTCAATTAGCAGTGCTAACATCAAATGTCATTGTTTTGTGCAACCCCATTCATTTCTTTGCCAAATTGCAGGGGATTTACGTATATACCCATACACTACCCAGGTTAGTTGAGGCTGGGGGCTGCAACTAAATACTTGGCAACTCTCTCCTGGTCCTTTTCTTTCCTCCTCTACTGTTAAATAAAAAGCGAGTTATTCAAGAAAACTAATGTCAACGTCTCCAAAATGACATACATCTATATGTGTATGGTTTTATTAATGATGATATTGTTTCTGTGTATGAACCAAAAGCACTAAAGTTCAGCCACTAAAGCCTCTAAATACAATTTTCAAGTCACTCAACAATCTAGGAATGCTAGTAGTGACTGACTTACAATGTAAGCCCAGCATTTAGATTTGGGATGCTCAGTTGTAATTCATATTTTAACCACAAGAGCTACTGAAGTGATAGTTACTTGGGTAGGGTTAGAAAGAAATTTGGAGGGTGCACTAAATATACTAAAAGAACATATTGCTGAAATGGATAACAACATATTAATTTGTTCCACAGGCAACAATGCTTTGATAGGTAGACTTTGTTAGCTTTTCAAACATTTGATTTTTTTTAATAGGTCTGCAGAGCACTACTGAAGGATATGCCAGTTATGGCAATGCTTAGAAATTTAGGGAAAATGACTACGGATTCAATTCTTGCTCTCGGAAGTGAAGAGGTTGCTATAGCTTCTGAAAGGCTAAAAAATGATTCTGTTTTAACGAAGGTATGATATTGGAACTGTCTTGTACCTAAGTGAGCATGCATATACCACAGAATGTCCAGTGAAATTCAGTTAGCAACTGTTAAAATTGACTAGGTTGTCAATATTCCTGCATACATCCAAAATTACCACATAAGTACAAGATTTGGGAAAGAAAATGAGACTCAATCATCACCAAACGAGAGATTTGTGAGACCTTTCCTTCAATGAAACATGTTTGTGTACATTTCATTGCATGTAACATTTTAATGCTCTTTCCAATAATCTGCTAATTTCACGCTCAGGTCCATCCATTTGACATTTTGGTGGCTCTGGAAACATATAAAACAGCAAAAGGAACCCGAGGAAAGCTAAAATGGGTGCCCGACCCAGACATTTTAGCAGCACTTGATGTGGCATTTTATAAAACTTTCAAGGTAGTTTTTTTTTTCTCTTTCTCAAAGCTTTAAAGTTTGTAATCTATGCATTGTAAATCATTTCAATTGTTGTTTTTACTCTTGCAGAATGTAGAACCTACAGGGAAACGTTTTGTTCTGGCCCTGGATGTCAGCTGTTCTATGTGTGGCCCTGTTCTTGGAAACAAAATGCTCAAGGCGTACAATGTTACTGCAGCTATGTCAATGGTGAGATGTTTCGTTTTTTTTAGCCCTTATTCGTTTTAGTATGTTATTGATTTCTTTACATTCCTATTAGATGCATAGGTTTTACTAAGAATGAGGAGTTTTTGCAACTTTGTACCCAAAAATCATTAAAAAATGTGATGTATGGAAATCTAACAAATACAATAATTGCTTGAGATATTTGAGCAAAACAATTTATATTTTCTTCCTTGCTTTATTTCTATTTGCCTTTCTCTCGCAAACACACTCTTCAGTAGCTGAGACAACAGCCTCTACTGCTGTAAATCCAGTTACTGGAAGTACTGGCGTAGCTCATATTGGAACGCTTTACACCCTTTCTCTGTCGATTATGTGTTTCTCTGTTATTTTACTGTAGATTTTGTGCAAGAAATTATTGATTGCTAGCCATGAAAAATGAATCGACTGGATTTCAAAATGTTTTATTTTCTTACATTTATAGAGAAATTGTAAGTGTTAGGTATAGCTTTATAGTTCATCATTTAGATAGATTTTCTACTTTAAATATATATTTAAAACTTGAGAAATAATCATTGTATGTTGTCTCATTTTAGGTAGTCACACGTACAGAAATGAATTCTACAATACTAGCCTTTTCTAAGGATATGGTTCCAGTGCCCATCACTGCACAAATGACACTGAATGAAGTACTTACTGCAATGAATAAGGTAAGATATGATATTATGTTTAATTTTCTCCTTGTTTACCCCCCCTACCACCACCCATAGTATTTTTGCTTCCCACCAGATATTTTGTATGTAATCCAATAAATCTGTGAGTTCCTTTGAGACGTCCTCCCCACATGAAAGGCTCTATATCAAATGCAAGTATTATTATAAATACTTTTTCTATTCCAAAAAATAACATGGATTGAAATATACCTTTTAATAGATTTTTGGTACTGGTAACAACTATTTGTTTTGAACAGATCCCATTTGGCGCCACTGACTGTTCCCTCCCCATGTTGTGGGCCATTGAGACCCAGACTGCTGCGGATGTATTTATTATCTTCACTGATAATGAGACTTATTTTGGAAATATCCATCCTGCGGAAGCCCTAAGAGAGTACAGAAAGGTGAGGAGTTTAATAATAATCCTGTGATACAATATAGGATTTAAAGATTCTCAATCTTCTGCAATCTTTAGGATTGTAACAAAATGTACTGAAATTAAATAAACCCATTTTATAAGGCTGATTCCAAATAAAATTAACACGAGGGCTTAACATGAAACAAATGAAATTTAGAAGCTGTAACTAACATACGTAGTCGATATTCAACTTGGGTGTCAGTAATGCGGGGTTTAACTTGAAATGGCAGCCCGTTATCATGGGCATGACTACAAAGTGCAAAGATTCGGCACAAAGATCTTTGCATTAAATGGGGCATGAGCTTTCTTTCAGCTGTTCAGTGGGTTAATTCCTTGTTGTTATTGATTGCTAGCCATGAAAAATAAATTGACTGCATTTCAATTCCTTGTTAGTTTAATATAATTGCCAATGATTCATTGTTTTTTTTGTGAGTTGCAGAAAATGGACATTCCAGCTAAATTAATTGTCTGTGCATTGGCTTCCAATGGCTTCACCATTGCTGACCCTGATGACCGAGGAATGCTGGATATCTGCGGTTTTGACACTGGAGCTCTGGAAGTCATCCGAAACTTCACATTAGACTTGATTTAAAAACTTCAAGGAAATTCACATTATTTAGTGAAAGAGCAGTCATTTATCAGGTTTATAAGACTACTTTGTGGAAGATTTATATTATGGATTGCTAGTTTCTTAATGGAGTGCCGCCTTTATTTAGAGAGCCGGTAAATGGCATGATCTTAGGACTGGTTAACCACAATAAATAATTTTAATTGTGGCAGTCTTTCCTCTGTCAAAGCATTTGTAACTAACTGTAGTAACATCTAAGTTGAGTTATAGTATAACCAAAGCGTGCTTCCTCTTTTCACTTAGTTTATGTAAGATCATCTTTGCAGTAAATATAATAATTGCAAACACAGCTTAATTGTGGGTTTGCTTTGAACAGTCTAAAAAGATTTGAAATCTTAGGGTTGTATGAATTTATTTGGGGCGCACTTGTGCACACAGCCATGTCACAGCCATATTTTAAGATGGAATTTCTTACAAACGTCTGTATAATTTTATAATACTAACTTTATGAAACACCTACATTCCAAAAGCTGTTGAAATTGTAAGGTTATGTAATATTCTGCATTACGCTGGTAAATTTAATTTTCAAATCTAAAGAAAATTCATATATAAAGGTGCTACAAATGTTTCAATAATTTCTAATTATTTAGCTGCTTTTTGCAGAGAGGTTTTAAAAGATATCCATAAATGGCATTTCTGTAAAAGATGTGAATTGTATTTCACCACTAATTTATGTTTAAGCTCACTGAGACACTACCCTACGTGGAGGGCACTATATAAGTGCAAGTTGTTGTTGTTTAACTTTGTGGATACCAGTAATGCAGTAATAGTGTAAGTAGAAGAGGGAACTTTTATGTTCATTTAAATATTTGAAATAATACAATGAGATTTGGTCAAAACTCAAGGCATTTCTCATATTTGTTTCTCTACATTATCAATGGTTAGAGCACTCGCCTCGCAAGCGAGAGACCTGTGGATTCCCAACAGGGCGAAATGTTGAGCAAGTTTTCTCACTCTGCACGCCTGTTTACCTAGCAGTAAGTAGGAACCCGGTTGTTTAGTGGATCGCTTTTCCAGGGGCAATAATTCCTTTTTTTTAAAAAAAATTAAAAAGTAACTTCAATCCACGACTGTTTGTGGACACTGCTGTGCGAAATTGGCTGCCGTGTTTCGCCAACAAAATATACAGTCAATTCACTTTACAATATATTCCGCTTTAAGACGTCGCGACGTGATAAGGCGCTAATCAAATATTGTTATAGTTTTCAATAAATAAATTGTGCAGTTATGATTTGCTGCTGGGAGGGTTGGGTTTACTCCTAGAAAGTAGTTATCCGTAACGAGTTACGAACCAGCACCTTTCACATTAGTAGTCGACCCTTTTAGTTTGAAACATAGACTCCATATCATACTCTTATAATGTGAGAGTAGCAAATACAATTCTTATTTGCAGAAGATAAGAAATGAAGATTTTCATTTTTTTTAATAAGTGTTATTGTCAAGATATTTTGGTGATTAAAGACAGTATAAGCTATTGCGAATGTTTTACAGTTGTGACTAGGTATTCCTATTGATCTTTAGTAAAGATTAATGTACATTGCATTATTTTGTGTGCAGATCCAACACCAATACACCTCTGTAGATACACCGATCTTGCAATATAATAAAAAAAGGAGTAAACTAGCAGAATATTAGGATAAGTCTAATTCTTGTATACATGAAAATTTCTTTTTGTTTCCTAATTCTTGGGAAATTTTTCTGCATTTGTAATTGAGATGTGATGTTTGTTTTGTCAACTTTAAGAAAAACTAATAAACTTTACGTAGTGTTTTTTTTGTTCCTAGCATTTGTTGAACTAGAATTTAATTTACCCATCATCAAAACAATACATATTCAAAAAAGGGAACAAAATTAGCATTTGTTGAACTAGAATTTAATTTGCTGACCATCAAAACAATACATATTCAGGAAAGGGAACAAAATTACAGATGCTATTAAACACATGGTATGCAAGCAATACTCGCTACAAAATTAACATTGTTGCTTTTAAAAATGAGTTCAAAACAAATTGTTTGCTACTCTTTCAGCAAAAACAATGTTTAAATTATGAAAAACATGCTTCATGCTTAGAATTTTATCTACATGTACCCAACAGTCAAATCCACCAAGTACGAGTGACAATTTCAAACTAATATTAACACTGCAATCTCTAACATTTTTCCATGAATGTTCAACACTGCCATTTGACAAGTCACTTAGTCACAACACCACTTGTCAGATAGCTGCCACGATATACAAATGTGAATGTTACGGTTCACAAAAAGATGCTCAATCACTTCCATAGTCCCTCATTACATTACTAACTCTCAGGCTGAAGGTAGAAAAACATGGCATTTTTTTCATTTTACTTTTAATAAAACATGTTTACATTGAACCACCTGTACTCCAGAAGTAATCTTGTAAATCAGTTCTACTAGATCATTCAAATTTGCTAGTTTATTTTTATGAGTAACAATAAGGTAGGAATAATGCTGTTGCTTGGTGTTTATAGAAAAACACACCTTCCTTCCATTACAGAATCTGATGTACACTCATTCACCAAGTCCAGTAGTCTACCCTTCGAATGGAGCATTACAGTGTCTGAACCACCACCAATGCAAGCCCCATTTATAAACACTTTTGGAACCTGTGTGAGAAAAGAAAATAAATTTTTGAATTTATTTTTAACAAGTTATTTCTTTGTTTTCTTCCCTTTTTGCAATTTTAGAGGTAATATGTGTTCCCTGTATTAAAGGCATGGCAGATGTTTGTAAATGCCCTTTATCTCTCAAATGGAAGGTAGGAGTCCTGTAGTTCAGTGGTTGGAGCACTCGCCTTGCAAGCGAGAGACCTGGGTTCAATTCCAGGCAGGGCGAAACCTTGGGCAAGTTTCCTTACTCCACACGCCAAATAATAATCGCTCAAGAAAAAAAAAAGCAATAAAATTGGTCACTTCAATCCTCAACTGTTTGTGGGACACTGCTGTGCGCAATTGGCTGCCGTGTTTCGCCCACAAATATACAGTCAAATCACTTTACAGTATACTCTGAAGCGCTTTGAGGCATCTAGAAGATGTGAAAAAGCGTTCTATCAAATGCAAGGATTATTATTATTACATAAGGCTTGGGCTGTTCTCCAGTTTTTCCTTGCTTGTTTTAAAGACCTGTTTGGCCGCCCAAAAAGCAGTAGAAACATACATTTGATTGCCTAGAAAGACATGTATAGTATGTGTAAGTATGTATAGCGCCTTGGGACGTCCTCCTGATGTGAAAGGCGCTATACAAATGTAATGTGATAAAAATCTGAAGACTTACTGTCTTTAAACTGGTCATTTCTGTAAGAATATACTGAAGTTGGATGCCATCATTCCGCTTATCTAACTCGACCACTTTGAAGGGAACGTGTAGTTCTGAGAATATGCATTTTACAATATCACAGTAGGGACAAGTCGTTTTGGAAAAGATCACGACACGGTTTTGCGTAATTGTATCCTGAAAGAAAGGTACCACTCATAGGATTACTATATTTTACAAAGTCTTTCCTGTAGCTCTTTGTATTACAAGATGCCAGATTTCAATATTCCCACTAATTATCAGTCAATTATTCAGCATATGTCTGTGTTCAGTGAACACCGACACATGCAATAGCATATGGATGGATCGATTAATAATAGATGGGTGCTGTTCGATGATGGATAGTAACAACACACTGGGATCAAACATGACACGTTCCTGATGTGCAGAAATCAATATTTAATCAGAATTAATTTTTTTTTAAAGCATAAAAAAAAGCAGCAGACGAGCCAGCGGATGCCTTTTCTCAGCCAACACATAAAGACGCACAGAATTCAATGCATTTGGGAAAGCAACTCACGTGAATGAACTGGAAAGCATTGGCATCAGATGTCCGGCACTGTGGTCCGGAAAAAAGACCTCCCATCCTATCAGTCTTGTCAACCTGCTAAAAAAAAAAATTGCGAAAAAGAAACAATTAAAACCCCCAAAAAAAAATCGAAGGTTAGTAAAATGGCATCAAGTTACTCATAGTGAAGGAAAACAAGGTGCTGCTCGTATTTCTCCCTTGTTGCAAAACTGCTGGACAGACCTGTTAGATAAATGGGGCGAAAGACTTGCAGAGTAAACATTCCCAGTTATTTCCAGGAACTGTGCAAACTCCTGAAGGCAGATCCCGTGTGTCCGTCCAATGCAAAACTGCGCGTCAATTTCACTCTTGAGCCCCTGTGAGCTGCTGAGATGCAACAACGTGGCGTTGCCTTTGTGATGTGGTCTCAGTTAACACACACTGCCGGGGAGGGGGTGTGGGGAGGGGGTGTGGGGTGGGGGGGGGTTGGGGTGGGTGTTAAGGCTGAAATTGCTGCATGATCAGATTAAAAAAAAAACATGCTTTTTTTTAATGCAAAAAGCCAAACAAAACAAACAATATAACAGTATCGCAATATAAACATTGCTTTCCCTCTCTCCGACAGACAAGTCGAGAGGACTCGGTTGTGGACCATTGCAGCACCCATCAGCTTGAATAGACTCAATAATGTCGATTAATACCAATTCGCCTCCAATTCAGGCTCTGAGCGCAGTTGACCCTTGTACCAGCGGCCAGTGGTCATTTGGATGTACAGTGAGTGAGTGATACATGAGACGATTACATTACGATAAAAGGAAGGGAAGGTGTGGGATCAACTGGGAAGAGCATCATAATAATAATAATAATAATCCTTGCATTTGATATAGCGCTTTTCACGTCGGGAGGATGTCCCAAAGCGCTTGACAGATCACACCGTAAAGTGAATTGACTGTATATTTGTGGGCGAACGCGGCGGCCAATTGCGCACAGCAATGTCCCACAAACAGTCGTAGATTGAAAATGACCAATTTATTATTGTTTTTTGTTTTGGAGGGATTATTATTAGGCGTGTGGAGTAAGGAAACTTGCCCAAGGTTTCTCTCTGCCTGGAATTGAACTCAGGTCTCTCGCTTGCAAAGCGAGTGCTCTAACCATTGAGCTATAGGATGATAGCTTCATTTTTCCCCAAACTGAGCAGTGGATTCCAACTGAATCAGTCACCTTCGCAAATAATTGAAAAGCCCTGGTGTAACAGATACCAAATGTGTGCTGGATTATTTTTGCCACATTGAACGCACAGCAGTGCAGTGAGGAGATAAAAAGGAAAGCCACCCATCACAAAAAAAGTCTTGCTGTTTTATGCAAATATAAAAATACCAACACATTAAGAAACTTGCTTTCGATAGAGCACCTATAATTTGAAATGTTTCAAAACTCTTCAAAGGTCACTGCTGACAAATGTAGAGGTGGCCATCACCTTCAAAGCCCTCCATGGCCTTGCTTCTGTCTACCTCTGTGACCTCTTAATGCCCTACCAACCTGTCCACTCTGTTGGCGGGCAGGCCTTCAGCCTCTCTGCCCCCACCCTCTGGAACTCCTTCCCACAGTCCCTCCACCTCGCCTCCTCTCTTGCCTCCTTCAAGACCCGTCTCAAGACCCTCCACTTTGACCATACCTTAGGTCACCCTCCTATCCTACCCTCCCCACCCTCACACCTCCTGATCCCAACCACCAGTTCAGGTACGGATTCCTAACTCTCCAACTCCTTGGGAGGTCCTCCTGAAGTAAAAGGCGCTATACAAATATAATTTGTTGTTGTTGTATTTGTAATTATATATGGAAGTCAATTGGCACACAGCAAAGTACCATAAACAACCAGAAGATGATGGATTCATCAGGGTGATTGTTGGGCAGGGCACCAAGAAAAAGTTTCCTTTTCACACAGTGTTACAGGATCTTTAACATTTTTAACCTGGACAGGCAGATGCGGTCTCAATATTGATGTCTCAGCCAAAGATTAGCATCCTTTCCCAGTATTATAAGGAGTATCAACTTGGACTATAAGCTCAAATACTCACAGATCCAGAGACAAGAGTATTGCCAACTAAGCCAAGCTGATGCCAAAACAAACTTTATTGAATAAAAAGAACTGTTTGGCAGTATTCCTGAGCTAGCTTAATACAATAATATTGTCAGGCACCTCCTTGCTGCCCAATTCAAGGAGACATGATGTGGAAACAACATGATGTGCTCAGACATGATATGCCTGGTGCCCAGTTTGGGGAATAATGTGCATCACAGGTTGGAATCTGATGCAGTGATTAAACAGGATCTTATAGAATTCAAAAAGAGACATGTCAATGGAGCTCAAATGTTACGAAATTTAAGTGAAAAATGGAGTATAGAAAATATTGCAATGAAACACTGGTGAGCCACGAGGCTGCATAGAGAAACGTGCTGTGGGTTTGCGCCCATCATCCCTCATTGCATCATATTAGACATTGGTAGGTGACTTTAGGAGGAAGCCAGAAAAAAAATCAAGTAAATGATCAAATCTAAAACTGGAATGTAAGGTGCGAGACCATTCAAGCTGCTCCAGGGAGCCATCTGGCAGTCAGTTTAGGAGCACTGTAGAAAAGTGCTTGAAAACGATTTACCCACCATCTGAGGAATGATGTGGGGAGAAATATCATTGATATAATATGGGCAGAAGAGAAACTGGATCTGTACATTCAATTATATTAGCTGTTTTATAAGTAATCTTATAGATGAACCTGAAACTGCACAATTTATTTCAAGTATGCTGGGCAGAGAGAAGGAAGCAGGCATTTCACATTAACTAATGTTTGTTAGTTTTCTCATCGCAGCGGGTAGCACACTTCATGATCAGTGCCAGAAGTTCACCTTTCTTGTACAAATCAATTGTCTGTTGAGCACCACCGATGCAAACTCCATTCACAAACACTCTTGGAACCTGTACAAACAAAAAACGTTGGGGGTGAACTTGGTTGCTGCTTAACCTTGCAACTGTACTAAACTCTAATTTACTTAATTTACTGATGCCTTGTTCCCTCAGTTGAATATGCCTGACATGTTCAGATCTAATGCAGTGTTATTGTTTGCACACCAGTGCAACATTACAGCACAGATTGGGCACATCTACCAAGCAAATTGACTTCCAGAAACATAGGTAAGTGAAATGACCTGAGTGGTGTTTAATGCATCCCTGATTTCATTTCTGCTGAAAGACTATTGCCGCAGTCACAAATATACAGTATCCCTAAGATTAAAGTTACCAGGTTTGCAAAGTTGTTTAATTAAATAACGGCTTAGAAAATGGTAGAAAAAGTAGATGCCAACTAACAATGGGTTATCATTGCAAACAGACAATATTTGACCAGAATACAGGTGATCAAAGAGAAAATGACCAAAAACAGAACAAACTAATTCTACTTTTTGTTTTAAAAATGTTTCTGAATATTGTTATTATTTTATGCATTCTAGTCATAGCAGCTTCCACTTTGAATGGATTGCCACACTATTCTGGTCTCATTATTACTACCATTTCTGCTGTTGCTGATTCCTTCTTGATACAAGAAGTGTTTTGCTTTACTTCATACGTTCAGGAGATACTAGATAACAGGACATGCTCGCATGAGTTCTTGTGTATAAGTTCTGTGCATTTTAGAATGTCTTGTCACAATTGTAATAGTTTCTCCTGATAGATTTTGTACAATTATTTGGATTTCCTTCAAACATTTGAAGCTTGTTTCCCTTTTGGAGCTAGACTATTCTCATCTTGGTCTCATTTGATCTATTTATCTATCCCCGGCTCCGAGTCAGGCTCTGCCACTGTTAAGTGCACTGTTGTTTATATTCAAGGACTGTAGCTGAAACGTCATAAATATAAAAGGTTCAAAAATATAAGACCAATTTTTTTCCTCCTCTGCTAAAGGCAGCAACTCAAGCTGGGCAAGCCTTTCACAGGTGGTGGCAGATTACTTGCCCAAATGATCAATCTTTATACTCCAGACTGTGAGCATGCTATTCCGCCTGCAAAACCATGCTGTGTCTGCCTTCACTCCCTATGCACTTCAACAGGTGTCACTGGAGAGCAATTTAGTACAAGAACGCATCCAAATTGTTTTCCCAGGGATACCAAACAACATTTACAACCTCAAAACCATTAAAGCATTGTAACTGGGAGTTAAATTAGAGTTGGTCAGAGTAGCTTATGTTCCATTTTTTTCTTCCCTCCACTACTGCTTTGCAGGGTACTTTGGTGATACGTAAAACTTAGGGTCACTTTGCTATCTGATGGGCTTATTTTAAATTCCATTATTCTAATTCATGTGAATAATTTCAATGTGAATATAATTGTGAGAGTTTCTTTTAAAGTCAACGAGCATTCAGCTATAAATCTAAATCTTGCTTCTACTACACTTCATGTTGATGTGAAATATCACAAAAGATAATGCTGAAACACATAGATTATAGTTTCTGTTTATCTGCATGTGTAGATGCATGCAAATGGTATACTAAAACGAGGAGAAAAATAAAGTTAACAAATTGAAAGATATATTCCAATAAGACCTTGTCTAACTAACATGGTCCTGATTTCTTAATTTAAGATCCTCTTGAGATTGTGCCCTTCAGTCTTATTGATTATGAGGGGTGGAGAAAGTAGAATTAGCTGTTGACTTTTCTTTTTTGGTCAGCTGGATGTCTGACACATGTGGAAACGAATCACTATGCTCAAAAGTATCCAAACCAGACTGAGAGTGCTAAGTAGATGACTTACTGTCCTTGAACCAGTTAGAATTCCAAGAGTATGTTGCAGAAAACAACCATCTTCGCGCTCATCTATCTCGACCACTCTGTAACTGACTTTCATTGCTTCAAATACATCCTTTGCCTTTACACAGAAGGGACAGCTTGTCTTGGAAAATATCACTATACAGTTCCGTTTAACTAAATCCTGAAATAAATAGATTCAAATTAAAAGTGAATATAGTATTGCTTCATTTTATTCATCTAATCTATCCATAATTATTTTTTTAACTGACTTTTTTTTGCACGAGCATTATTACAAATGTTTTAATGATAACCACATTCAATTCGATTTTTCTATTGATCCCAATAGAGATAGCACATACATAACTTCAATTATACAGTCATTTCACTTTACAGTACATTCTGCAAAAAAAAAGGGGCAGAAAGAGGGCCAAGGGCGGAGGGATCGAGGGAGATTGTTCCAGAGTTTTGGGGCGTAGTGGCTGAAAGCGCGGTGGGGCGGAGGGCGCGAGGGAACCTCTCTCAAGACACCTCAAAAGAAATTCATGACATGTCCTTCAGCTGTTACAGGAACACCATTGATCGTGCGACACAGGACGGTCAACGAAACATTAATTACGGAAAGCGGGCGTGTAACATTTCCAATTTTAGAACTGAAGGCAACTCACTTCGATAAATTTGGAAATAGAGTCCTTAGGTCGTGCTGATCGTTGAACTACTATTGCTTTATGATTCTTTTTTTTGGACACAAAGTGTCCCATTCCTGCGAAAGGGAGATTCCAGTCCGCAAACTGGAACCAGAACACACATTCAGAGAAGAAGTGCCAATAAGTTACATCATCAGCATATAACATTTTCGTTCTCTTTTCCTTTCGATGCAACCGACATATGCAGCCTTCTTCCCGTAACTCAGCTTTACGTGTACTTTTTAATCCCTCCGATTTGGGTTCGTTCGTTTTGGGGGGGGGGGTCATTTTGACAACACGTGTAAAGGAGGACTCGCGGCCACGCATGTTGCAGAGAGGTTTGCTCAATGCTGGGGTGTGTGTGTGGATAATCCCGTAACCACCACGTGAAGTCAAGTGAAGTGTGTGTGTGTGTGTGTGTGTGTGTAGTGGTGGGGGTGGTGGGGAGGGGGAGACCGCTATTGAATGATTTGCACCTTGCACTGGACAAATCCACCCCCCACCCAGAAATGCAAAGTCAGTCCCAAAGACTGCAGTTAAGGTTGGCAGGTGTTGTACCCAGGATGGGGTGGGGTGGGATGGGGTGGGTGAGGAGCTCAGCGACCTGTTTCGATGGGATTGAGATTGAGCGCTGATTTCTACTGTGAAGTTGTCCTGAATGAAGAGCTCGAGTTACGCGTCTCCTCCGGTGTGTTGTGTGTGTTGCCAACCGACGTCACAATGGCCATCAGTGTATCCATGTCACCCTGACACTGACGCCTCAACCGCATCGCTTTGCTTTGGCCTTTGCCACAGAACAGAGCCATTCCAACTGAACCCATGCGAATGGCAAGGATTATTATTATTGTTGTTGTTGTTGTTGTTATTTAAATGCAAAGTCGAAATGCAGACCGGATTCAAAGCGTTGGGGTGGGCTGGGTCATTCATTCAGTCCGGCACGAGTCCCCTTTGTTTTGTCATTTAGGCGGACGTTCAGATCCCCTTTCGAACAATAAGTTATGTTTTTTTTAAAACCATGTCATTCATATTTAGCCTCAAAGCGCTCCATTAAGTTTACGTGAAGTGTACTGAATACTGTTATCTATTTGTTGGAAAACGCTGCAATCCAAATTTATGCACAATCCCATCAACTGCCGGGTCATACTAAATGTCATTGTCAGTACAATATAGAAATAAAAAGGGAGTATATCTGGAGAAGGATTGCACTCGGAAAGTTAAATCTTTGTTTTTAGTTTTCAAGCCTGCTGGATTTTGCCTACATTGTCTGATTTTAATTCATTGTTACTTGTTATGTTTGGCGTTTCCCAGAGTTTGTTAACCATAGGCTAAGATTGTCCTGTAGCTCAGTGGTTAGAGCACTCACCCCTCAAGCGAGAAACCTGAGTTCGATGTCCAGCAGGGCAAAACCTTGGGCAAGTTTCCTTACTCCACATGCCTAATAATAATTTCTCAAGAGAAAAATAATAAATTGGTCACTTCAATCCACGATTGTTTGTGGGACACTGCTATGCGCAATTGGCTGCCACGTTTTACCCACAAAATATACAGTCAATTCACTTTACAGTATATTCTGTGAAGCGTTTTGAGACGTCTTGAAGACGTGAAAAGCGCTTTAACAAATGCAAGGATTATTATTATTAAGATATTATTTGGCTGTTATGAGCTGTTTCTCATGGACTTGCCTGGCTCAGGAAATACGCTACCGAGGCCACAGGTTGGCTCGATTCTGACATTCTGTTGCCAAACCTGTCACCTTGGAGCCAGTTCAGTCATACGTGCGGTAGTTGCCTTGTGTGTGTGTGTGTGTGTGTGTGGGGAGGTGCAGGGAATAGGTACAAAAGTTTGCTCTGGGATCCCTACATTGTACTAGACGATGACACTAAACCTTATCACTAGATCTCCCAACAGTGCCCCTGACTGCTTACCTATCCCCCCATCCCCTCCTCAGTCAAGAATCTGATATAGATATCGAATGCAATAACAAGATTACATTTGTATAGCGCCTTTCACGTCGAGAGGACGTCCCAAGGCGCTGGACAGAGTACAGCATTTCAGACCCGAGCTGGGGTTGGGGGGTTAAGGGAGGGGTGGGGAAGGGGGTGGCCGATGGCATGGTCGAAGAGGAGGGTCTTGAGGCGGGACTTGAAGGAGGCTAAGGAGCTAAATGCAATAGGGGATGGTTTTCCGGGAGTAATAGCGCCTTCCAAAAAAATAATAATAAATTGGCCACTTCAGTGTCAGTTCACTTTACAGTACATCCTGTGAAACGCTTTTCGAGACATCTTGAAGACGGTGACGAGGGGCAAGAATCATTATCAAAACGCAAAGCACTGCAGCTGCTGGGAATCCGAAACGAAAACAGAAGTCGCCGGGAACGCTCAGCGGGTCAGGCGGCGTCCACGGAGAAAGGGGCCAGTGAGTCGAAACGTTCCGGGTCCCAACGACCCTTCGCCCATCCAGAAATACGCCAACGGGCGGTCAGTTCACTTGACAGCCCCCCCCCCCCCATTGGGCGAAGGGCTTCGAGAGGGGGTCGAGAAGACGTGAAAAATCGCTGAGCGCCAGTGCGTGGGTCGAGGAGGACCAGGTTCCCCCCCTTTGGGCGAGATCTCCCGGCCCAAGAACTGTTAGCATCGTGACTGTTGGTGTTGTCCTGTTGCCATCCCTCATCTCACCAGACACCAGCGACCACTGTGGGCACAGCTGAGCATTTGCCCCCCCCCGGAAGCCACGTGCACGCATGCGTCTGCCGCTCAGGCCCCGCCCCTTGGCTCATGATTATTTCAGGCGTCCTGCGCGGGCAGCCGCGGCGCTGCCGCGAGGACCTCGTTGTTAGGAGGCCGCCGCTGCTGCCGCCGCCGCCGCCGCCGGAGCGCGAGGCAAGATGGCGGACGTGCTGAGTGTACTGCGCCAGTACAACATCCAGAAGAAGGAAATCGTGGTCAAGGGAGACGAGGTCATCTTCGGCGAGTTCTCCTGGCCCAAGAACGTGAAGACCAACTACGTGATCTGGGGGTGAGTTGGCGAGCCGGGAGCGGAGGGGAGGGGAGGGGAGGGGAGCGGAGCTGTGGCTCGGCCGGGGCCGGGGCCTGGGTTTGGTCCCGCTCTCTGCTCTGCTCTGCTCTGGTCGGGCTGACAGTTGAGCGGAGTTTGAAGCGGGAGGACTGTTATGTTTTGAGGGCGCAGGAGAAGGAGCAGCTTGTGTGGCTCCTCCTGCCGCTGGCAACCACCGCAGCCACTGTTTGCGTGGGTCTGCCATGACCGCCTCGCTTTTATTATTATTTTTTGTTGAGGGGGTGTTGTCTCTCTCTGTCTCTCTCCCTCTCCCCCCCTCCCTCCCCCCGGAATACCTGAACGTTGTTGACTATTCTTCCTTTAAAAAGATCTCTCTCTCTCTCTCTCTCTCTCGCACACTTTTTCTACCTCAAGGGTTTGCCGCTGTACTTGTTGGGGATGTGTTCTTTTATTTTTATGTGCAAACTTTTCCCCTGTTTCGCGTTGCTTTTTTTTTCCCTCTCCTTTTCGGAGAGCCAAAAAGTTTAGCTTGACTTTCGGGTCGCTCGCGTCCTGTCTTTTAACAACCCAGAGCGAGTCTTCCCTGGGTTTTTCTGTCGTTGACTTGCTCCCTCCCAAGCCTGAAAGGTTTTCATCAACCCGCTGTGTCAAATGTTTCGTCGAGTGGAGATGTATTGCGGCGTTACGCTGCGATGGAACTGATGTTAAACTCTCGCCAACGCAAATTTCCAACATTAACCGGCATGAACCTTCCACACAAATCCAGGAATATCTGATTCTTAAAGCCTAGGCACTGAACTTTGCTGGCACATGAGGAGGGCGAGCTATTATTGATGGCGTCGATTGAACGCCGAGTGTTTCTCTGATGCAGTTTGAGGGCAACCTTTCATTCTATGATTTCCTGCTTATTGTCGCTGGCAGGGGAAACTAGTGGGTGAAAAAAAACCCATAATAAATTGGTCATTTTCAATCTACGACTGTTTGTGGGACATTGCTGTGCGCAATTGGCTGCCCCCTTCGCCCACAAATGTACAGTCAATTCACTTTACAGTGTGTACTGTGAAGCGCTTTAGGACGTCCTCCCGACGTGAAAAGCGCTATATCAAATGCAAGGATTATTATTATTATATGGATTTCTGGAGCAGTTTATTCTCGGCCAGATTGTGCAATGTCGAATAACAGTTATTGGGTGATCTCTGAGATTTAGGTAAGTGAAGGTCGGGTTCCTAAAATAAATTCTGAAGGAGCATTGAGTTAGGTGTGGCAGGTGACATCCCGGAGAGATAATATTAGGACCATATCTAATGAAATCCTTTCTTTATCCCAAACACTGCCTTTTAAATTGAAGTGTGAGTATTCAGTGTTGTATTTACAACACACTTAAACACACAGTATCCAGTAACCAATCTGAATAATTTCAAAATTGTGCAGAGGATTTCAGAATAGTTTCCATAATGATTTAAAACTGCACAAAATAACTTTGCATCTTTATTTGAAGCTGCCGTATACTTAAAACTTGTGTTATTTAATTTTAATAAAAACTGAATGGGTTTATCATCTTGGAAACCTGGTTTGAGACAAATCTAGATAGATATTGGATCAAAGTTTCATTTGCTGACCACCACGCATAAGAGATTTAGAGCAATGTTCACCTAGGTCTTACTGTGCAAAATTGGTTGCAATTTAGTCCAAATTGGCAGTCTTGCTCACAAGCAAGGATGATTGATGTGGGAAATGGATAACAGGGAACATGTAAAGTAGATGATCTTCTGTGGTTGATGTTTAGGCATGTTGCTGGGTCAGAGAGAGAACTTTGTATACTATCTGGACTATTTCATAGAGATAATGTTCAAAAGTGGGAAAGCAGTAGTATATACATTTCTTGCTTTTATGCTTAAAATGTTCAAGGTGTATAACTGACTTTATAGTAGATTTAAAAAGTCCTTTTTTGTAGAACCATCTGTTCTATAGATGTTCCTGTGATGTGTAGTTTCAGGAATTGTCAGGTTGTGCACTTTATACAATATAATTATACAATATTTTTTCTTCCAAATTCATTCTATGAATGGTGTTGTAAATTGTAGTGAAAGAGAATGTTCAGGTATAACTAATGCAATTTAGTGTTTTTTGTAAACTTCCTTTGTTTAAAATTGTAATTCAGATATTATGAACTAAAACATTCAATTAAAACAGGCACAACATTTATTTCTCACCTGTCAACAAGAGTCAATCCCAAAATAGAGTAGGTGGAGTATTTCTGGTTAAAAGACAAACATTTGGTATAGTTATACATGTGGCACTGCAAAATTAAGCTGGGAACAGATTTCTTCATGTTATTTACTCTCGTTTTTGCTATCCTTTGCTGTCAGGTTTCTGCTGGGAAAACAGATGGGTCTTACTCAATACGTTTACCTTTCTCTATAATGCCACCATGGAACACTGAGTCTACTGGGTACTGTTGGTTGTGTACTGCATGTGATGTGCTGTAGAAGGGCTTAAGATTAATTTGAGAGTTCTGGTCTGTCAGGGGTACACATGTTGTAATGGCACCCATATTTTTTAAAAGTGCTTGAACAATACCATAACTGTAAGTGACAGGCTGATGATTATCTACTTGGAAAGCTTGCATTGCTGAGAATTTAGCCAGTTTACTTCCATTTCATTTTCAAATTGGATTGCCCAGAAGTCCTGATGTATGTTTTACTGTGTTCATATTAAATGTGGACCCGATCCTTCTTTGTGTGAAGTTACTTTATTTGCATTATGTGACATTGTCAGAGGATTGAGCTCTTTGGTGCTTGTGATAGAGTAAACATTCAACTGTATAGTTTTTCTTTCTGAAGATAAAACCATAGGTTCTTAAGAATATTAAAGTTGCAATGGCCATTTATGTTTTACACATTTCTACATGTCCTGAGAAACAGTTCTGAATAAAATATTTCTAAAGTCAACCTGTAAGTCAAATTGTGGAGTCCTGTAGCTCAGTGGTTAGAGCACTCGCTTTGCAAGTGAGAGACCTGAGTTCAATTCCAGGCAGGGCGAAACCTTGGGCAAGTTTCCTTACTCCACACGCCTAATAATAATCCCTCCAAAACAAAATAATAATAATCCCTCCAAAACATTTTCAATCTACGACTGTTTGTGGGACACTGCTGTGCGCAATTGGCTGCCGCGTTCGCCCACAAATATACAGTGAATTCACTTTACAGTATATTCTGTGAAGCTCTTTGGGACGTCTAGAAGACGTGAAAAGCACTATATCAAATGCAAGGATTATTATTATTAAATTCATTCCTGTAGATACATCTTTGTGTGCTGGCAGTCTGTATACTTGAGGTACCTATCTCAGTTCCTTGCCCTTGAGTTCTGTTTCATTGTTGGTATCGAAAGTGGAAATTACTGGTTACCATTCAACTCTTATCTAAGAAAATTAAGAAAATGGCTTCTCTCTCTCATATTGTGTCTCCATATTACACATTTAATTGTGGTCACTGCGTACTTAAATGTAGTTCCTAAGCACTTTGCAATTAAAGTTACGTAGGCACTTGCTCATCCTTCTGAAGCCAGTAGTGATCAAGTATGAATAGGAAATGCGGCATAAAGACTAACATTAATGTTTTGTCTCAACAAGGAGCTGCTTGGTTGTCAGCTGTGAGCTCTGTTGGTGACCATCTCTTATAGGATGTGACATAGATCTGAATTCTATAGGTTGTGACATTAATCTGAACCTCCATGTTTGGTGCTGAATCAGAGACGTCTGTGAGGGACAGAAACATTTCATTTCTTCCCAAAAAGCATGAAAAAGTGGCTGACCTTTGCATTGTCAGGTTGCCACCCGTCCGGCGTGGAGGGTGCTATATAAATCCAAGTTGTTGTTGTTGCCACTGATGCCCCTTCCTTCACAAAGTGACAGAGATGGAGTGATGAATAGGTACATCAACTTTGGTTTCTGCTTCTGATGCATAATCTAGCAGCTTGTACTTTAAGTGGGCATCTTTGGATAGAGGTTCGGAAAGCGGTTAAGCTTAGTTATGGAGGAACACACACCCACACTGATGCTCCCTGCTTTGGTTTACCACAACAACTTGCAATAGTATACAACAACAACAAAATTACATTTATAGAGTGCGTTTTCATGTTAGGAGGACGTCCCAAAGCGCTGAACAGTCATATATAGCACCCATCATGTGGGGTAACGTCTTGGAGCACTTAACAGAAGTGAAGCTTGTCGCTGAGCTGAGGGGGACTGTAGGCATGGTCAAAGAGGAAAGTCTTCAGATATGATCTGAAGATGGAAGGAAGAATCTTAATTTTTCATTTAAGTGAAAAATGAGCGCTTGGGCAGGATACCAGCGATTTGCTGCCTTTGGCACGTTGCCTGCCATGAGTTTCTGGCTCAGGCAAGAAGTGGAGAAAAATAGACAAGTGCACAGCAAGTGAACAGAAGCTGCTTTCAAATTATTGCAATAGTCCAGTACAGTGTGTGCTGCTAAGAAAGTCTTTGCTACAAAATGGCTATGTGGACCAAGCAATATGGCCCTTTTTTTTTGAAAAAAGGGTCTCTTAATATTAATGTTGTCAAATTTCAAACTGTTTAATGATCCTTTAATACTACAGTGGCACTTCAATGAGAAGTTATGATGGCACTTCTCTGTGGAATAGGCTCCAGACAAAATTCACAATATTAACGATGACTAATTGGCAGTTGAATAACTGCATTTGCACAAGTTTGAGAAACAGTTGCAGAAGCCATGAAAGCAGCTCCTAGATGGTGTTCTCCAGTATTTGATGAAGTATCTAGTGCAGACTACCATCTGAAATCTACATTGGTGGGCTCAGAGATTACAACCTCACTTTCAGCTGTTTCCTATAGAGGAAAATGTTTGGCAAGGTGGATGTGGTTCTGAAGCAATGAAACATTACAGTGTTGCTGTTGAAGCGGGAAATGTGTTTTGTGGCAGTGCTGCATTGCTGGCATATGTTGGCTGGATAAATGATTTTTTTTAGTGGAAGTAAGAAGTTACTTTTGAATTTCTTAGATTTTGCCTTCTGAAATTTCCGCAGTACATTATGCTAAAGCTGACTTGCATTAAAGAGTTTCAGAGCTTGCAATATATCTGGGATCCAGTCAAAACTGATTTATACATACTTCTGTCCCTTTCTCCACTAATTCTATTCATATTTTTTTTCCTCCTATAGGACTGGCAAGGAGGGACAGCCAAGAGTGTATTATACTTTGGACTCCATTTTATTCCTGCTAAACAATGTTCATCTTTCTCATCCTGTGTATGTGCGTCGAGCTGCAGTAAGTATAAATTGGTTGTAAACTTAAAATATAACTTGGAGAAGTACTGTCTTGTTTTTAGTTACTCATCTGGGAAACAAAGTTGTCAAGTTTTTAATTCTTTAGAAAGAGTGACGAGAGGAACAAACCAGGGGATAGAAGGTATGAACTTTCAACGTATAGCAATTAGGCCAACTTTTCTCTCGGGTTGAAAATGCTGAGCTGGCTAAATGTTTTTGACATCACAGCAGGATTAAATGCTGAAGATATCAGCAAGGCTCTTCTAAGTATGACTTGAAAATGGAGAATTTGTGAATAGATCAATAAAGAGAAATGTTAAAGATTGCAACTGATGGGAATGGGTAGCATAAGTTAGCGAATTGGAAAAAGGGAAGTGCAGGTTGATGGGAGACGATATATTATTACTGCAATAATTTTAAAGTCTAGTGAATGCTAAAATGTGTTGGACCTTATGCTAATTGAAACCTTACCATATGCCTTTGTCGGCAGTTTAATGCTTTAAATTTGGATTATCGTTGAGTTTTTAGCAGCCCTTGTTCATTCGAACTTGGTTTGCTTGCTTTTTGGGGCCAGTGGAGAACAAAAGCACAAAAATGTGGAGAGGGAAATTGGAATATAAATACATTGCAAACACCATTGCTGCTTTCTATTTCAAACCTCATGGCATAATCTTTGAAGTAATCTTGATTAGCTGACTTTTAGTGGATAGCTAATATATTCAAAGCAAATGAGTAATAGTTCATTCTTGTGGGTCCTGTGATTTTATTTAAAAGAAGCACTGAATCAATCAAGTCGTCAAACCAGAGAGGTAGTGGAATACTTTTAGAAACTTGATGTATTTTTAATGAACCATACATTAGAGAGAGGATGATCTTACTCACTGAGACCTAAATTACTTGCATTTCCATATATATTTCACAGTTGTGATGAAGGTTATACTATAATTAAGAACACACTATTTACCAGAGTTTGTTCTCTTTGTCAGAAAATATTTGGTCTTTGGATCCTGTTTTGTATATTTAGAGCTTGTGTATCATTTCTGCTGAGTTGCAACTAAATTCTATACAAGCTTTTAACTTGGATCCTGTTTGTGCTTTCCGAGAATCTCTTAAAGTGATTACAAATTAAGAAAATCTGGACCTACATCCTAGTCTTTAACTAATAATATAGTAGTTTTGATTGTGATAATCATATTGGAGCTGTATGTTTTGTGGATAATTTACTGCATTCAATGTAAACACTGGTCAGAAGTGTTCCGAGTATAGTGTTAGCAAAAGCAAATGCATTGTATTACAGAATTGTGAAAGAATGAAGATGCAAATTGTTTCCATAGTTAAACCATTTTTTGTGTTTTTAAATAAAAGCTTCACTTGCTGAAATGAGGTTTACTTGGAAATATTAAGAATTTATGGGCCACTGTTAACCAAATTTGCACAAAGCTGAGAAGTGTTAAGTAGATGTTTCTGACTTAAAATAATTACCTCTGAATTACATGTAGAGAAACAAAGGTAATAAGAAGGCAGCAGTTTTAAATTTGGATTGATGCAACTTACATCACCTTTCCACGGGTGCTGCACATAATCAATGAATGCTTTAATTATCCTGGTTTATTTTTGTTAAAATGAGAGGCTTTGTTGAGCCTTATTAGAGTTTAGAAAAAGGCAGTACAGACAATATAGGATCCAAACAAGACATGTAAGTTACCTGCCATTGATTTGTGTGTGCTGGTCTGCTTTTGTAATACAACATTCCATTTTTAAGTGAGTTTGTTTTGCTAAAATCAGTTCTAAGTTATATTGAACCAATTAACTATGTTGCACTGACTACCAGTCATTCCGATTATGGCCACTCAGAAAAAGACAAAGATTATTAAACAAAGATAGGAGGCACATTTCTGAAGGATATCGAGAGGGCTTGCATTGGGACTAGAATTGCTTCAATTGCTTAATTGAAGGATCTAGTGGAGATTCAATTTTTGTTCTTTTTCAACTTCATTAAACTATACATTATTACACAGTTCAATGATGAAACTTTTTTTGTAAAATAGACAGAGAATATTCCTGTGGTCCGAAGACCAGACAGAAAAGGCCTTCTTAGCTACTTAAATGGTGAAACGTGTAAGTATGAGTTTAAATAATGCACGTTATGCATGCTTTGCCATGTAAAGTGAATGCTTGCTATGACTGGATGGGGCAACCATTTGACCAAAATGGCTGTGAAAAGCCCAATTGTTGAAGCAACTGAGCTTGTAGCAATTCTTATGTGTATATTGAAATTGAAACAACTTGCTCTTTATTTTATTGTGACCTTTAATGGCTTGCTACAGTTTGTTTTTGGTAGCCCCAAATTGAGAAATTGGGATTGAAAAGGGGGTCAGAATAAACTTTTACATTATTCAGTGAAGTCTGGTTCTAAAATGATGTAAATTATTAAATATGTATATATTATCCTGTGTATACATACCAGTTCATTTATCATAGGAAATCATCCATTTATATAGTCTACACCAGTAAAAATCTCTTTATAGAAAATTGAGCAAAGCTTTTTTTATTCTTTTCTATTTTGCATTATTTAGTAGTTTCTCAAAATTGTGTAATCCTGGTATTGTTGATGCTCTGATTCAGTTAATATAAAGGATTCCTGTTATCCCATGACTTACAATTGTAACTGTGCTTCATTGGCAAACTGATAGCCGATGACACGGATTGAGAATTCTTAGTGACTTAATCTCCCTGCCCAATCTAGGTGCTGAGTCAAATCGTAGCATTCTTGCAGCTATCCTGACTAATTCAGCACAGATTGAATCCCTGACCCTTGTGGTCCTTGTGGCTCAGCAATTTACTGGCTAAATTGATCAGTGAAGGCAGTTACTTAATGAATAAAATAAACTTACAAATTGCAGTTATATAAAACACAGTGTAATTTGTTGATTCATTTTTAGATTGGATTTGAAAGGAGTTGCTAGGATTCATTTAATTAATATTTTCATGTCATTAATCTGATCTTTTACTTTCTTAGCGACATCCACCAGTATAGACCGAAGTGCACCTCTAGAAATTGGTTTGCAACGATCTACGCAAGGTATTTCAAGTTTTTGTTTGTTGAACACAAAGAATATTGGGTTAGTAATGTACAGAACACTTGTTCAATTACATTTTATTTGATTTTGTTAAACCAACAGTTAAAAGGGCAGCTGAAGAAATATCTTCAGAACTAAAGAAACCAAGGATAGAAGTAAGTGACTTACTTAGCATTAGCAATAGCAAATGCATTGTATTACAGAATTGTGAAAGAATGAAGATGCAAATAAGTAGAGGATCTACAATAAGTAGAGAATAAGTAGAGGATCTACAATAAGTTGCTATTCTGTTATCTATGTTCCCCTTTCTTCCCCACTCCTTCATTATAGTACTTCTTCCTTACGTTGACTGAGAGCAGGTACTCAGCACAGATTAGTGGTTAAACCTAAGACCATCCTTCTGTGGCACAACACCACAAGCATAAGTTTTTATCTCCCCATGGAAGGGAGTTTTTCATTTATCCTGCAAAAGGCATCTTACAATTGTCTTATTTTCAAATGCTGAGTTTCGCACTTCATTCTCGATAGAGACTATTTCTCTGAATCTTTTATGTTGTGTAGGTTTGTATTTAAATGATCATTATTTAGTATTGAAATATTCAAAAAGGGATAATGAGGTGGTAGGTTGTTGTAACAGATGGTTATGTTACATTAAATCAGCTGGGATGAGGCTCTTGCTGGACGATGAGTGATTCTCAAGTGGCGGTCCCGACACACGGGTATTGGACATACTGCAGCTCCAGTATTTTCATCCACTGGGACCATCTGGTGATAGTGGAGATGTCTGCCAGCAGAACTTGTTAGGCCACTATAGGCTGTCATTTTCACTGTGTTGCTCACAAAGGCAAAAGAGAAATGTAGCATTAAAGATTTAAGATTTTTCCAGCGCTTCATGCTTTGAAAGTTACAATTCTTTGTATTCATTTTTTAAATGCGTTTCATAATGGTATTGACCATCTCTTTCTCTTCTTCCATCCTCCCAATAAGATGTTTTATATATTCTATGAGTACAAGTATTGGATATCTAAGGTGGTTTTAAAAAACAATGGTTTGTGTGTTCAAATGCAGTGGCAGCATGGTTTGTTGATGCTATTTTCCTGACATTTAATTCTGGAAGCTGATCAAGAAGGGATTTAGCATGTTTTGAGAAAGAATGGGGTGGAAGAAGAAAACATTTTTAAAGTTTATCAGAATTTTTTTTGTCAGCTAGCTTGAACTGCTTATGAGAGAACTGAAATAACTTGAGATGATTAAAAGGGCCCCGATAGAGGCGTTTAAGATTATAAACCAAATGAATAGGGTGGACATTGATAAACTTTTTCCACTTAGCGATGAATCAAAAATAAGGGGGACTAAGTATACGATGACTAGCAGCTGGGAATATAGGAGGAACTTCTTTATGCAGAGAAAAATGAAACTGAAATTCGCTAAAGGAGGCAATGGATGAAGCAGAAATCAATGTACAGTAAGCGGAAACTTGGATCTGTATAGTAGGGGTTGAGGCTCTTGTCAAGTATGTCAGTGCATTTGGCATTTTGATTTGATTGGGTTGAATGGCCTGTTGGCTGTGCCATTCTTTGTCATACTTTACTGATTTGGAAAAATACGAAATGAGGTTTATTTTAATTAGGATGAAGAACGTGTACGGCTTGACAAGGAGCGTTTGGCAGCTCGTTTGGAAGGCCACAAAGAAGGCATTGTACAGACTGAACAGATCAGGTAAAGAGTGAGTCTTGCAGATGCATTTATGTAATAATTCTGCAGCAATTGATCTCTCTAGAAAGTTCTGAATTAAGTAGAAAGTTTGCTTGAACTTCATAGGTGATTGACGCTAACTGCATCTTTATTTTTTTCCATTGTCTGCATCTCTGCCTGTAAAGTCAATGAGATGGGAGAAGTGGAAGAGAACGAGAAGCCATATAATTCTGAATTTGAAGCTAACCAATGATTAGAAATTTTGAGACAAATACAATTAAAAAAAATTGTCACTTGCTTCAATGATGTAAGGATGAGATGACTATTTATTCCACAAAAACACTTATTAATATATTAATGCTTATTTGAATTAAACCTAATCTGGATTTTAATTTTTACATGTTTTGAAACTTGCTCATTTTCGCCTTTATTTTGTGCTGAATCGTATTGCTGGAGATTGAAAACCCGTTTCTGACCACATGGGATCAATGACAATAATAATAACCCTTGTGTTTGATAGAATAAAAATAATAATCCTTATGCTTGATGATAAAAATAATAATCCTTGTATTTGATATAGCACCTTATCACGTCTTCGGGACATCTCAAAGTGCTTCACGGAATATACTGTAAAATGAATTGTCTGTATATTTGTGGACAAAACGCGGCAGCCAATTGCGCACAGCGCTGTCCCACAAGCAGTCATGGATTGAGTGTCCAATTTCTTTTAAAAGGAATTATTACCCCTGGAAAAACGATCCCCCAATCGACTAACATCCGGGTTCTTATTTACTGCTAGGTAAACAGGCGTGTGGAGTAGGAAACTTGCCAACATTTTGCCCTGCTGGGAAACAGGAAACAGGGTCCCGTAGAGTCCTGCAGCTCAGTGGTTAGAGCACTCGCTTTGCAAATGAGAGACCTGAGTTCAATTCCAGGCAGGGCGAAACCTTGGGCAAGTTTCCTTACTCCACACGCCTAATAATAATCCCTCCAAAACAAAACAATAATAAATTGGTCATTTTCAATCGACGACTGTTTGTGGGACATTGCTGTGCGCAATTGGCTGCCGCGTTCGCCCACAAATGTACAGTCAATTCACTTTACAGTGTGTTCTGTGAAGCACTTTGGGACGTCCTCCCGACGTGAAAAGCGCTATATCAAATGCAAGGATTATTATTATTAAACAAGCCCAGGTCTCTCGCTTGCGAGGCGAGTCCTCTAACCACTGAGATACAGGACTCCACATGACAGTTTTGTCTACATTGGGAGGGCGTCTCGAAGCACTTCACAGGATATATTCTAAAGTGTTGTGGTTGTGAGTTTTGTAGGCTAAGTGAGATTTTGTGTATCACATAGGAAGACCTATACAGTTGCTAGGAAAGTTAATGAATTAGTCTAGTCAAAGGCACATTGTTCTTTGGACTAGAGGCAAAAACAAATCTAGACAGACAGTGAGAGCAACAGTGGCTACAAATGTGTATGTTGCAATTCTAATAATTCTTCTGAAATAATCAAGAAATCTCATCATGCACAAGGTTGCCAGCTTTGAGCTGGCGATGATTGTCAATTTCAAGCTGGATGTTCCTGCTCCCTTTTTTTAAAGACAATAAAATATTTGAATTTCAATCATATCTGCTGGTTTTTCTGTTTTCTTGGCTTATTGTTTATTTTAGTCACTGCTCCTATTTTTTATGAACTTTATACACGCAAATACATGTACAAGCATGTAGATCAGTTTCACAATGTATTTCTTGATGCACATTAGTTTCTGAGGCATTGTTGCACTGATCAGACAGAGAAACATAGTAATCTCACCACATGCTTCAATGGGTCTTGCTAAAAATATATTAAATTCATTAAATTTAGGTTTGGGAGAGTTGCACTAGGCATTGGTTCTGAATTCATACCAAGAACGAGAATGATTGAATTAAAATCAACTTCGTAGTGCGTCTGTAAATGTTCTTCCTATGCCATCTTGTGGCTAGTTTAAGCTTCTGCACTGTATACATGCCCACATTTTCTTGACTGTTTTAGGAATTGTTAATCTCCTAAAACTGCCAGGGTCTCAAAGAAATTTACTTTATAATGCCTTATTCTGACTGGTTAATCTCGTTGTTAGATGTCTGCATTTTTTTTGTTTTTTCCCTTCAAACGCAAGTAATTTTATAGTTAATCATGTAATGAAAGTATTTATGTAACTGACAGATGAGAAAACTCAAATAAATCTGTGGCATACATCACACAACGTCTCAAATGCGTTTTGGGGATAATTTTACCCCACTCCACCATCTCTCGATTTGATACCTGTTTTCCTTTTGCTTAGCGATGCAATCATTAAAATTCAACATTTGGGCTATAGTACTCCTACTAAAATTTAGCCTTTATTCTTCACAATGTACAAGAACCAATTAAGAAATTCAGGATAGTTCATATGGATTAATCTTTTCATTGTGGACGAAACCAGTGATGCGGCTTTTACTGTAAACCTAACTTTTGGGTTACAGATCGTTGTCAGAGGCCATGTCTGTGGAGAAGATTGCTGCCATTAAGGCTAAAATTATGGCTAAGAAAAGATCCACTATCAAGCCTGACTTGGATGATGATATTGCAGCTTTGAATCAAAGAAGTTTTGTGGACTCTGAGGTGGATGTAACCAGAGACATAGTCAGCAGAGAGAGAGTATGGCGAACAAGAACCACTATTCTCCAAAGCACCGGCAAAGTAAGTCTTCATTACCTGCAGCTTTGACCCTAATAATTCTTCAGCCATGTAAGAAAGTGACTGCTTCCTGTCAAGGATTGGAAAAAAAGGACATATTTTTCATCTTTGTAGTATTTATAAGAGGAGCTCTATCCCTTTTCAAGGGTATTTGTTTGGATAATCCACATAGATGTGAACTTCCGTAGAACAGCCATTCTCTTGATCGATTGTGTCCTCCTGGGCCAATAGAAAACTGGCTGCAATTTTTCAGCGGAATCTGCTCTAAACGGCCCCCCTCCACTCTAAACAGGCCCCCTCCTATAAACAGTGCTCTCAGCTATAAACCCGCTAAACAATGAAGTTTCTGGGATTCCGGCGGCTGTTTACCCGACGCTACTGCGGGTGGAGCAGCTCTGGATGTACATGCGGATTGTTGCGCAAGTGGAAAATGGGCTCGATCCACTCGGAAGCCACGCTCTTGAGATTCTCTGTGTGCGTCTCTCTAGGTATTTGTGAACGTCTGGTGTGTGTGTTGTCTATACATGCGTGTGCTTATGAGTGTCTCTGTGAAAATGAGTCTGTGGTTCTCCTCTGTCTGTATGTGCGTGTGTGGCTCTTTCTCTGAAAATACATGTCTCTCTCTGCCTCCCTGAGTGTGCGTCTCTTTGGGTCTCTATCTGTACTCTGCCGCGCCTTGAGAGGCAGGAGGTGGTGAGCTCCTGTCAGCCCTAGGTTAAGACAATGGTGTCTGTTCTTTGGCAGATTTTGTGACCCTTTGGGCCTGTGCTGGTGGTCCCCCCACCCCCCCCTTCCCCAAAAAACGGTCATCCAGTTTTAAAGAAGAAATTAATAAAAATGTTTTGCAACTGTTTTGCAATTGTGCTTTTTCATGTTTAGTCTTTATCAATAAAGTGAAATAATATAGATTGGTGGTAAAATATACCTCAACAGCACCAATCAACTCCCCGCACCCTCGCAAATGTACCTCGTAATTTTGGCAAATATTTTCTATTGGCCATGGTCATGACTAGATAAGCACCCTCTCTCATGCCTTGTGGTTAACAAGTGGTCTAGAATCTTTATTCTCATTTATGAGTTGTGAAGACTTGAGATACTAGGAAAAATTTATTTCCAGGTTGTATACATCTTGAGTTGACGGGCAATACTTCCAACTATCTGTTAATGTCTATGGGATTGAAATCTGTTTATATTAGTCAGCACCACTGAACATGTCCAAAATTTCACCTGATGGTAAGTGTCAGGAAAGACAACATGACCGTTCTGTGTGGAAAAGCTGGCTGACTATGCTTCAACTCCCAGCTTCTTAGCGATGTTTGTGGCCTGGAATTTTTAATTAACTGTCCAAAGACTGAATTGGGTAAAGACCAGTTAGCAGCATAATAGAAAGCGAGAGTACAGCACCAAATATACTATGTTCGTTTTCAGTGGCTGATCTGAAGAATGCAATTAGAAGGCTGTGTCTTCTACATCATGCGATTATTAACTGGCAAAGTATTGATGGTTTTCCATGTCAATGGATATTGCACCAATAGTCTATTTTAACTATGGGGAAAATGTTTCATGTAATTGATTTGGCGTCTTCAGAAAAAACAATTTTATATTTTTGTGTTTCTATGTATATAGTGTAAAAGCTTTAAGGTATGTAGTACAAGCTACATTTGTTCCAGACTGGCATCTATCTGCCACTGATTGTATCACTCATCTGCGAGGAAAGTACATTGATTGCTGTAGGAAATAAATTGTAAAGGGAAGTAAGGTGACAATTGGTGGCACGTTTTAAACTGTATGAATAGATTTTTTTCCTTTGTATTCAGGCCTGAACAGTAGTTGAGAGTAGGGCAAAATCAGAGATGTAACTGTCGGGGTAGAAGTGTAAACTAAAAAATATTTATTGCTAAATATTGTTTCCTTTGAGTTGTATGTGTCTTTGTCTTTGTTGTGCTGTTGTGCACTTGTAGATTACAACTCTACAAGTATATATTTCCAATGAAGTGTGAGCTCTGACCTCTTCAAAACTTTGTACATTTTGTGTGCAGATTTATTTTTTCATTTGGGGATTTGGGTGACCTTATCAAGTCCAGTTTTTATTGCTCATCATAATGACACTGCTTGAAAAGTGAAGGGAGTTTCTTGCTGTGTCTTGGCCAACAATTCCCTGGATAAAGTTGGTCATTCACTTTTGAATGCTGCAATATAATTTTCATTAAATTGTTATCTGCAGTAGAACACTAAATTATTGGACATGGGCTGCAGAGATTTGGATGGTTTCAGAGATTTGCAACTGGTGTAGGGAGGAGCTGAGGAGTCTGGCAAGTATTGGAATAATTCAGGCTGGGCACAAGGAGGGTGTGAATAACACCAACGTTACCTGACTATTCAGACTAAATCTAATAGTTACACGTGACCTCAATTAGAGTATAAAATAGTTCAAATTATCTGAACTGAAATGTTGAGGCTGCATATAAAATATCACAGGCTTAACATTTGTATTTAGTATAAGTGTTAATCTTTAAATATACAGTTGATGTCTGTCCTCACAGTATCTTATTGGGAAGCTGATTCATAATATAACCATATAACAAAGTAATAATAATAATCCTTGCATTTGATATAGCGCTTTTCATGTCTTCTAGACATCTCAAAGCGCTTCACAGATTAGAGTGTAAAGTGAATTGACTGTATTTGTGGGTGAAATGCGGCAGCCAATTGCGCACAGCAATGTCCCACAAACAGTTGTGGATTGAAATTATGAATTTATTATTTTTTTTTAGGGTATTTACAGATGCCCTCAAAAAGTGTATCAGCTTTAGGAAGACTACTCCATATGAGAAACAAACCAATTTGAACTGCTGTTAACTTGAGCCTTCAAACATTTAAAATTTAAATGTCTGTAAACTCAATGTAAGAACTGATTGCCCTGAGTATTCTGAGGTGACGAGTAGAAATCGAAATAATTAAAAATTACATTCAGACATTACACAACTTACCCATAAGACGACTCACTCATCAAACATCAGAAAACTTACAAATCCCCATTAAAATAATTGCACAGAATTGTTCAACTAGAGTTAAGTCCTCCTGAGTAGCATTCATGACAGCTTGAACAAATAATACCTGAAGTTCCGAGCACCATGTTTTGATGTACTTTACAAATCTTTTGACAAGTTTTTGTGCTGCATAGAAATAAAGGATCACAATTCAACTTGTATTCACTTTCTAATTATCCATGCAAATCTTCCACTTGTTTGATATAAATTAAACCCTGCGTTCCATTTGTGAGAAAGGCCACATATACATCACTCACTCAGTTTCATATCTGATACCTTTCGTATCATTCAAACTTGTCTGTTATAACAACAGATTAGGGATCTTTTACAGAAGTTTTTTTTGGTCTGATGTTTGTTTCCATTTGAGGCAGAAGCTTGGTCACTATTGGGTGCAATTCCCCCCCCCCCCCCTGTTCATTCATGTAATTCTGCCTTTTTTCTCCACCTTGCTGCCAAACTTTTTTTGTCATTGTGGTTTCTCGGTTTATTATCTCCTAGATTCTTGTTTACTTGGATTGTGCACAGCGTCACCCTGTGATGGTTTACTTTACAGCATAATGCGTTTTTAACGTAAAGCTGTGTCACAGTGATATTTCCAATGCCAAATGCTAAACAAAAGAATTTATTATCTTTTTGGAGTTCAAATCTGTTGCACATAGAAATGTATTGGACTGGTAAATCCTTGTGACTTGTTTCGCCTATTTAGTCCCGAAGTAAAAAGATCTGTCACAGATGCAAGGATTATTATTATATTATTAAATAGCAGTTTTGTTCAGTGTCAACACCAGGGACTTGAGCCCATTAACTGATGCTTAACGCATTCTTGGAGTTCCCAGATGAGATGTTAAATCGAAATACTGACCGACTTTTAAAATGGTTCTGTTGACCATAATGATCTCATGGGACCATTTGGAGAAGAGTAGGGTGTTTTTCTAGTGTCCTGGCCAATGCCCTTTCCTGGTCTAGATATACCAAAAGCAGGTGTTCATGTACAAAATTACATTTACAGGATGTCAGGAATTTGAATTCAGTCGAAAATATAAAACTAGCCAGTTGGAGGTTTATCCTTTGGATGAGATGTTAAACCGAGGTCCCTTCTGCATGTTTAGGTGGACATTAAAGATCCCATTTACTATTTGAAAAAGAAGGCCTTTTTCCCCCCAGTGTCCTGGCCAACCATGTCCCAGATAGTTGGTCAGTCACTTCATGGCTGATTGTGGAACATCGCTGTGTGAAAATGGGTTGTTGCATTCATCTACAAAAAATAGTCACTACCTTTACAGAGAAATCTGTGAAGCGATTTGAAACATCCTCCTGATGTGCAAGGAATGATATCAAATGCATGTATTTATTACCAAGAAATGCTATCGCAGGGGCTAAAGTATTCTTTTTGTCAATTGGCAAGAATTGGGTATGAGTCATATTAGTTTATAAATAGAAAACTGTACTGCAATTGGTTGTATATTTTAGAAATGTTCACAAGCTGCTGCTTATAAATTTCATATTCTTCTTCCTTAGAATTTTTCAAAGAACATTTTTGCAATATTACAATCTGTAAAAGCCAGGGAAGAAGGACGGGCCCCAGAACAGAGACCTCCACCAAATGTGGTACAGCCGGTAAGAACCATGAATAAACCTTCACCATACTGATCAATTATAAATGCATACAATGTACAGATACTAAATGTGCCTACAGTAGTAATCATAATTGTTATTACAATTTTCCCTGGTGATATATCTTGCTTAATTTTCTATCCTTAAATGGCTGTAATTCAGACGAAGAAAAAGAAATCTGTGCATTAAAATGTTACCTGGGATATTTCTGGTTCCAATTCAATGATTCATGTAAGATTGAGCTGGCAAAGCTAGTTTTCATCGGCTTAAATGAGTATAGTCCTTTATTCAAAAGCAGGTTTGTTAACTTAATTAAATCCCTTGGCCTTTGCATCTTGCTGACTCTGCTTTCTCATTGATTGAAACGTGACAAATGATCCCTTGGTGAGATACCAAAGGACACACGTGGAATCTTCAAGCATGCATTGGCCCTTTGAGGAGAGGATGGAAGAAAATTGGAGAGATGGGGGAATAAACGTTAATAAAGTCCACCTGCCTTCCATTCCAATGTTTGGATCCATTAAATCAGATGCAGTGTTATAAGTGGTCCTGCTATAAAAATGGGCACATGTCAGCACTTTCATGTGTCTGTTTGCACAGTGCACAGGAAGTTAACGAATGCTCTCATGAGGATTTCTGTATTTGCCAGGGCATTGCTAGTTGCCAGGTGCCTTCTGCATCTGCACTCTAAAATCGGGATGAACCCAGAAGCGTACTGTACTTCCAGTTGTGGGAACACAGAACACCTATAGTGGAGGCTATATTGAGGCATTTTATAATCAGGTTGGCTTGCAGGAAGCAGTTTGGATGAATATGCAAACTTTATTACAAGTGGTTCTGTATTTTCTGAGTGACTCGGCACTATTTAATCATAAGCTCATGTAATCGAGAAAGATTCTTGTCTCTGATTAACAAATCAAGAAACGTCAGTGTTAAAAACATAATGTTCTTTGTAGGATCCAGCATTACGAAGCAAGCAGCCTGTGCCAGCGGCATATAACAGATATGATCAAGAAAGATTTGCTAAGAAAGAAGGTAAATATGCTTGCTTTTATTCTCTCCAAATATCCCTTGCACATGGAGCCAGAAGAACAAATAAAGATGATTAAATTAAAACCACATAGAACAGTCAATCAGGAACCTTTTGTAATCATTTGCATCACTGAACATCAATGAGGAACCCATTGCTGAAGGACCATTATTTGAGTATCTTTGAAGCAACAAATAAATGTTAATTTTAAATAGATACACTAATGGGTTACAAATAGAAAAGAAAGAGCTTTAGTATTCACCAGTTCATTTACCGTTTTACAGATGAAACTATATGGCATTGTGTAGAGAAGCTTTGAGAATCTTAATCATGCTTGACCTGGCAGACAAATGTTATCCAATGTAATTTATATTCATAATTGTATCTAATACGCAAATTGACAAGAAAAACTGATCTTACTATTTGTGATGAATCGTGCAGTTAATGAAATGTATATTAAAAAAGGTTTAATGAGTCCCTTTTAAAACTGGTCTGACAGAATCTAGCCATGCGCGACAGTTTTATAGAAAAATTGTTTTCTGTTTTTTTTTATTAATGTGGAAAATGAGATAAATCGTTGTTGCATTTCATGAGTAGTTCTATCTGCTGGCACTTTCTTTGTCCAGGGTTGGTTCTAGGGTTGGCTTCTCACATTGCTTATCCTTGCTGCAATAAATGTAACAACATGGTGTAATAGGACAATGCATTGTAAATTTTGAAAGAAAAATCTTACTTTTAAGGCAATTGTTGGAAAGTTAACATTTTAACTTATTTAATTTAGGATGTAAACGCACATGTCCAAGTGGAGTAAGGTCTAATGAGCTTCTTCATAATATTACCTTTCACAGGGTTATCTGGTCGCCCCCAGCGCCTCTCCCCGTTTCCTTTTTGCTAAACTGGATGTTCTACCTCAGTGGGATTTTTGTTTCCTGCTGTCACAAATTCTGATCTGATAACCCTCACTGAGTTTTACTTGACTTCAGTTTAACTCTGAGCCAAGACCTATGCATAGTTACACAATTATGTAGCATGGAAATGTATTCCCCTCTCCTGTACCCTTCTCTTCATGTATACAACTGTATGGAACCTAAGAATTGCTAGATGAAAAAAGACCAAGATCCATCTAGTTTGCCTTCTACCATCCTGGTAGTTGCAATCTACAATAATGGAGATATCAATAGCAATTCATTCTGTTGGGATTGGTCTACAATGTATTTGTGTCTATGCAAACATAATAACTGCAGGATTGAGGTACGCAAGTATTTATTCCAGTTTATCCCAAAGTGGTAAATTTACACTGGAGAGCTGCTAGAGGTTTACTAGAATGAGTTTATAATACCAACTTGCATTTATATAGTGGTCCTCACACAGGGTAGCGTCCCAGACCACTTGAAAGAAAAATGAGAAATTTTGAATCAAATCTTATGAGAAAGCAGTAGCATTCTTTAAGATTGGAGGTTTTCCAGCCATAGAATTTGTTATCTCTGCAAAGCTGACCAGTTGCTTTTGTTCTTTTCGCCTGCAGACCGATAACTCGCACCATTTTGTGTTTCAGTTCAGAATGACTCATTTTCATTTTTGAAAGGTTCAGACAAGCAAATATTATTCAAAACTCAGCAGCATGCTAATTGCATAGATTGAATCAATTAATAATGTTGCGTTTCCAGGCAGCAACTGCAGGATAATGAAATCTGTAATTTTCAAAGAACAGGATGAAACGCATAATAGGATATGTCACACCCATGCCAACCATATTGTGAGTAAGATCAGAAATTAGTGAGGTGTGAGTAGTTTTATACTATGGACGCCATAAGGAACTAGGTTGTACAATTAACTTAGGACACATAAAATCAACACTGCAATTATTGCTTAAAATAAAATTATAATGATCAAGCGATTAGAATTTTTTTAGAAATGAAAGTTTTGATCATGCATATGAATGGCTTTTTGATTAGTTTCGTGCTGCACATTTAAATACCAGAAACTTGATCGATTAGGTGACAATAGGTTTTGGTTACTTTGAAGAAGTTACTCTGCATGCATTAATCTTCATTGAAGATACATTGGCCATTCGAGTGGAAAACTTATTTTGTTTTCAGGAACATCCATGTTTCAAAGCTGACAATTTATATGGACTATGTTATCTGTACTCCAAGAGTTAGGAAAGAATAACCGATATGGGATATATATTATTATGTATATGAAAGGACACTAAGGAAATAGGCTTGCTGATCATACTTAAAACATTTTCTATTAGATTTTTACATGTGAAGTTTTCTACTGGGACATAATGAGCAGGTTTCTATAGGAAGAAAACCTTTTTTCAGCAAATACTTAATATAATCCTTGCATTTGATATAGCGCTTTTCAAGTCTTCTAGACGCCTCAAAGCGCTTCACAGAATAAACTGAAGTGAATTGACTGTATATTTATGGGTGAAATGTGGCAGCTGATTGCGCACATCAGTGTCCCACAAACAGTCGTGGATTGAAGTGACCAGTTTTATTATTGTTTTTTTTCTTGAGGGATTATTATCAGGTGTGTGGAGTAAGGAAATTTGCCCAAGGTTTTGCCTTGCCGGGAATCAAACCCAGGTCTCTCGATTGTTAGGCAAGTGCTCTAACCACTGAGCTACAGGACTCCTTAACCATGTAATTAACCAACTTGTTGAATGCTGTTTGGTACAACAAGATTATCTCCGGGGTTTTAACACTTGACACAGGCCTTTTGAATGATGTGTAAGAATAATAAATCAATATGCAGGGTATAATGTGGTGGTCTGGATCCAATGTCTCCTCACGTTAAAATAAAGTGTGAAAAAAGTGGCCAACTTCTGGGTCATCAAACCACTGTTGATGTCACTTCCTACACTCTATGCACAGGAAACATTGCTGGGGTTTCCTCCTTCATGAAGTCAAAGGGACTTTAGTGTTTTGTGTCTCCAATATAGGCTGGGCCCAAAATAAACTCAAAGGCGGCACCTTACAACAGGACTCTATGGATGTGGTTACATCAAGTGCTAACCAAGATAATTTATTTTTCTTTCTCTCTTGAAACCCTTTGTTTGAATATTTGAAAAGGGTACAAGACAGGTTGAAGCATACCGTATTTGGGAACAGGACAAAGGTTATTAATTAGTATCAACAAGCTGTTGTAACTTTTAACCTGACCTATTTGCATTCTTACTATATTGCTGACTTCATTCTCTTTCCAGGAAATCATCTAGGTGTAACTTTTCCAAGATAAGGTTTGAGGGCCTTGCCTTCATTACATTGATAGTAGCCGCTTATCAAAACAACCTAATTCTAATGTCTCTCAGAAGAACTGTTTGAGCTTTTGACTGACTGGAACTTCCATTTTTCTGTATAATTTCTTGGTTTAGGGGCTCCACTTCCTGATTTATGAATTTCACTTTTTTTTGTGGGGTTGAATTTTTAATAGAAAATACTCAGTGGGGGGAGCACTTTCAATCTGAAATTTTCAGTTGCGCACATGTTTTTTTTAAAAAAATTCACCTATCTTGAAGATTTGTTTGAGTTTCACAGCAACTTGCTGGGAACTTTATCACATTGACAGGATTCGTTGAGTAAATTGATTATTCTATCAACAGTTCCTTTTTTAATGTGTGGTGTGACCAGTCTCACAGTCTGAAATGGGCTGCACCACATAAATGGGAACTGCTTGTTGATGGGCTACCTATGTATATTGTGTTAAGTTGTGTCCAGTTTTATTAAATTGCTATTTTCAGATTTGGAAGATTTGCAAGGATGCTTAGAAATATTGTTTTAATATAGCTCTATAGAAAAGCCTAATAAACTTTTTAATTGTATAATAATGATTACCTTCTCCTACCTATTAATCCTGGAATTTGTTTCTTTATCCAGATTGGGTGTCCTGAACAGTGGCACTGATTGATCTGCTTTGCAGATGTCTCTGAATTGGAATCTAATGCTTTCTTGATGCTACAACAATAAGAACTTACCTTTTTGGAGTCCTGTAGCTCAATGGTTAGAGCACTCGCTTTGCAAGCGAGACACCTGGGTTCAATTCCAGGCAGGGCGAAACCTTGGGCAAGTTTCCTTACTCCACACGCCTAATAATAATCCCTCCAAAACAAAACAATAATAAATTGTTAATTTTCAATCCACAACTGTTTGTGGGGCATTGCTGTGCGCAATTGGCTGCCGCGTTCGCCCACAAATATACTGTCAATTCACTTAGAATTTTAGAACCCATTGTCTTAATTAAAAAGTGTTTCACAATCTCTATGTTGGGAGAGAAGTAAGTCTGTCATGATGTCAAACACAAGGGATGCAATTATGGTTTTGATTGTCGCTCCATCGATTGGATTTTTAGAAAATATGTAACACACTTTTCCATTGAGGCCTGTGCCCCTTTAATCTTCTCACTATCGGAAATGATTTTTTGTCACAATCTTTGTAACAAAGTTGATGCTATTGCTCCCTCAAGGTCACTTGTATTGCCTCTAAGGTTTGATATTTTCTGTCTTGTTCAGCTGGACAGCTGCAGTCATTTTATTTTTAACATTGTATAAATGTCAACGGAAAATTTCTGTATGCTGGAGGACAATGTTACAACCTGTCGAGACAATTTTGTACTGTAGTATTTGTCTATGGTTAGTTGAACTATACGGAGTCTCATGAAATTAGATCTCAGACAACTGAATTAACTAAAGTCTTGGCAATAATTACTACAGTACTTTTGAGAACTGTAGTAATTAAAATGCTGCTGCAAGTTAAGTTGTAACCGAATATGCATTCATTATTTTACCTAGTTTCAGCAGAACTGATTCTTTAAAGACTTTTTGTTGGACACTGCTATGCGCACTTGGCTGCCGCGTTTCGTCCACACATATACAGTCAATTCACTTTACAGTCTATTCTGGGAAAAGCTTGGAGACATCTAGAAGACGTGAAAAATGCTATAGCAAATGTAAGGATTATTATTGAGTAGTGTCTGTTGTAAGATCAGATGATTTGTATTG